AGGTGTGAGGGACTGGGAAGTAAGTTCGCCAACCAGAGGAGCCAGCCCCTGCCTCAGAATGGGGTCGGGATGAGGGCATGACCAGCGCTGTGGACTTTGCTGAGAAGCGAGCTTGCCACGGTGGGGTGGGGGTTGCCGGACCCTGGCTGCTTACCCCAGTCATGCGTGGACGTGTGCCCTGCAGGTTGCACTTCCCCCAGCTGGCCTTGAGACGGAGGCTGGGACAGTTAAGCTGCATGTCCAGACCTGCCCTGAAACTGCGCTCCTGGCCCCTGACGGTCCTCTACTACCTCCTGCCCTTCGGTGCCCTCAGACCGCTCAGCCGGGTGGGATGGAGGCCCGTGAGCAGGGTAAGTGTGTGCAGGCAGCCGGCCTGGCCCAGCCCCGGGCAGCCCGAGGTAGGGACCCAGGAGACCCAGATGGAGACCGGCAGAGGAGAGGTGCTGGCTGTGGGAGACGAGCCCTCCAGGAGGGTGGTGTTGGAAGGCAAGGTGGTCGAGGGCCTGGCTGGCTGGTGGCTTTGTGGGCCCCACGGCCAGGTGACTAAGGGCTGCCTCGCCGCCCAGTGCCTGCTCTCTGCCTGCGTTTGTGCCATTTGGGGGCTCTGCTTCTGGAAGAAACCTGTCCTGTGCATTCAGATAAGTGTCTGTCTCATTTCCTGTGTTCGAGGAGAGGTACGCTTAGAGGTGATTTTGAAGAGAATCCAAATTAGTTCCTAGGTGCCAGGGGGTGATCGTCGAGGGCCGGAGCCTATTTAGGCCCCTTAGGGTGGGGATGCCTTTAAGGACCTGGGAGCCCTGGGCAGTTCCCTGGAGGGCAGACTGGCGCCAAGGAAGAGATCCTGCTCCTGGGCCCTGGGACAGCCCGAGTGGGATGCTGTGAAGGCGTGAAAGCCAAGGAGCTCGGGCATGAGACCTGAGGCCGCATGGCAACTGTAGCCAGTGGACAGGTGTCAGCGGGGAGGAGTTCTGGGAGCCGCTATTCAGTGCCTCCTAGAGGTGTTTAAAGTTGGAATGAAATTACTTTTACACCTTGGGGACTTGGTGTCTTGGTCGTGTTCAGACAAGCAGCAGCTGCCGCCAGTTAGAGGCAGGTCCCATTATGACAGCAGGGCACAGAGGGGTCACCTGCTCCTGGGAGTTTGGCTGTAGAGCTGGTTCCCTTGTTCCTCCTGGGAGGAGCCTCAGGTGCAGACAGCTTTTTGGGCAGGCCCATCACAGCAGAGTGCCTCTGGGTGTCAGGCGGGGCTCTGCAGGGCGTGTCCAGGCCCGGGTGACAGTGATACAGCTCACTCACCTGCACAGTGTCAGAGTCCCTGACCTTTGGGGCAGTGCGGGTAGGCGGGCAGACTATTCTGCTTGCTGTTAGGACAGGGATGTGGGCTTTGGGCTGCCTGCCAGCGGGCGGAGGCGGGGGGGCTCCTGCTCCTTTCTGTGGTCCTGGACACAGGCGTTGCTTCCTGCCGTAGCCTGTTTGTGATGGTATCAGATTCGTTTATGCTCCCTCCCCGCTTCGAGAAACATGACTGTGTTGGCCAGTCTCTCCCCAGGCCGCTGTTCGGTGTGCATAAAATGACCAAAACACCTGGGTTGTAAGTCACTATGTCACAGTTTCACCCAGTACTCAGTTTGTGAGACTAGTTGGCAAGTTCAGTCTGGTTCCTAGTGAGAAACGACCACATCACAAAGCCCACATGGGATACCCAAGGCTTCCGGGGGTGGCCCTGTCTGTGACGGGCAGTTGACGGGGGCACGGTGGACTCAAAGTGTGGCTGACTCATCCACCTGCAGGTGGCCTTGTACAAGTCGGTGCCAACGCGCTTGCTGTCAAGGGCCTGGGGCCGTCTTAACCAGGTGGAGCTGCCACACTGGCTACGCAGGCCGGTCTACAGCCTGTACATCTGGACCTTCGGGGTGAACATGAAGGAGGCCGCCGTGGAGGACCTGCACCACTACCGCAACCTCAGCGAGTTCTTCCGGCGCAAGCTGAAGCCACAGGCCCGGCCTGTCTGCGGCCTGCACAGTGTGGTGAGGCTGGACCCTGCCTTCCGCTGCTCCCTCCAGAAATGTGATTCTTGCCTGTGCCTTCGGGAACCAGTCCCTACAGACTCCATCGGTAGCCTGGCGGGTGTTCCAGGCTGGGCCCCCAGGGAGGAAGAGGTTCTGGCCTGCATCCCCTCTCCTCCTCCGTGTCCCTTCCCCTCCCATCCCTCGCAGTAAGACTCCCCTAACCCTTCCAGATCAGCCCATCAGATGGGAAGATCCTCAGCTTTGGGCAGGTGAAGAACTCTGAGGTGGAGCAGGTGAAGGGTGTCACCTACTCGCTGGAATCGTTCCTGGGCCCTCGTGCCTCTCCAGAGGACCTGCCCTTCCCACCAGGTGGGTCCTTGCCTGGTCATAGCCTGTTCGCCCTGCTGCAGTGTGGCTGGGCTGGAGTTGAGAGGGTGAAGGTTGGGAGCGGGGCGGTGGGAAGGCTGCAGGAACTGAGAGCTGGCCTCTGGGCCAGGAATCATTCTGCCCAGAGCCTCGGGGCCTCCCTGGAGCCAGTGTCCCAGCTGCATGCAGGCCCCCTGCTGGGAGGCACTGGGTGCTTGTCTGAGAGCCTGACCCTCGTGTCTGCCCCCCCCCGACCCGCCCCCCCCCTCCCCCCCACCAGCTGCCTCCTGCAGCTCCTTCAGGAACCAGCTGGTCACCCGAGAAGGGAACGAGCTCTACCACTGCGTCATCTACCTGGCCCCTGGGGACTACCACTGCTTTCACTCCCCCACTGACTGGACTGTGTCCCACCGGCGCCACTTCCCAGGTAGGCCAGGGCTGGCATGTGGCTGAGAGTTGCCTCCATGAGGCCCAGACAGATGCCCTCAGCTTCTAGGTTTCAGGAGACCTGGGCTGCAGGCTTCAGGCGGAGGCCGGAGTTGACTGCTTTAGTCTGGCTGGGCGTGGGCTGTGGCGGGTAGGCTGGAGTCCATCCCACTCTGCATTTGGAATAACTGGGCTCTGCAAGGCTGGTCTTCCTGCTGGATGGGGAGTAGCAGTGTCCTGCTTCCACAGGCTCCCTAATGTCTGTGAACCCTGGCATGGCCCGCTGGATCAAAGAGCTCTTCTGCCACAATGAGCGAGTGGTCCTGACCGGAGACTGGAAACATGGCTTCTTTTCACTGACAGCTGTGGGCGCCACCAACGTGGGCTCCATCCGCATCTACTTCGACCGGGTGAGCAGAGCCCAGACCCTGCTGAAGCGCAAGGGCTAGGCCACGTGGGATCCCTCCGCCCTGTCTACCCTCCACTTGCTGCTACTGCCCCTCTGGAGGTGGCTGGAGAGGAAGGGAGTTAACCTCCCCGCCTGGCACTTTGCTTCTCCTGGGAACCTAGGGGGAATATTGATCTTGGGTAGAATGTGCTGATTGGAGGCCCAATGTGGGAGGAGACAGCCAGTGCCCACCCTGCGTAAGGCACTGCCTTTCTTGGTGTTGGTTTGTGATTGCCCCCTGCCTCACGCCGCTGGCTGCTGGTCTTGCAGCACCATCTGCGGAGAAGAGTCAGGTCCACTTCCTCCGTGTCCCTCAGCAGCCCAGTACATGGCAGGTGTAAGGCACTGTGTCTGGTCAGACGACCAGCCCACAGGTTGAGTCGCTCTTCCCACCTCCCTTTCTAACCTGGGTTGGGGACAGGCTGCAGAGGTGTGTTCAAAGTCCAGGGAACAGGTGTCTACATGCTTTGCCCTTGGCCTCCCCTAGGACCTGCACACAAACAGCCCACGGTACAGCAAGGGGTCCTACAACGACTTCAGCTTCGTGACACACGCCAACAAGGAGGGCATCCCCATGCGGAAGGGGGAGCACCTGGGCGAGTTCAACCTGGGCTCCACCATTGTGCTCATCTTTGAGGCCCCCAAGGACTTCAACTTCAAGCTGAAAGCAGGACAGAAAATCCGATTTGGGGAAGCTCTGGGCTCCCTCTAGAGCCTTTTCCCTGGCTGCAGCTGCTGAACAGAGAAACGGGAGTCTTCTTGAGGGGAACCTCCTCAGCTGTCTGCAGAGGGGCCTCTCTCAGCACCATGCGGTCTGACCAGGCAGGACCTGGGTGACTTCCGTTCCTGCCGTCCCAAAGGTGCAGATGAGGTCAGAGCTCGTGTCATGCCCTAGAGCTACATCGCCCCCTCTTCCCACCCTAAAGAGAAAGTAAGTGCCGGGATGATCTCAGATTCCCTTTTGGAGAGCGAGGTTTTAACTCCTACTGTGTAAACCAGAGACCTTACGTCTCCTGGCTGAGCGTTCAGGAGGCCCTGGTTTCCGTTTAAGATGGTAAGTGGTAATGTACCTTTTTGCTGTTCCTGCTGTCACTGCTTTTGGCCCCCCTGACCAGGTGAGGTGCCTCCTGGCACTGACTGTGGGCCCGCCTGCCCCCAGAGCAGGACCACACAGCCGTTACTGTATCTGCTTTCTGTTTCTCAACGTGCCCCACCCTGCTCCTGGGGAAAAGCTTTCTTCACATTTACGGCTGAATGCATCACCCGACTCTGCCAGTGTCTTCCGAGGATGGTGACTAATGGCCAGTGCTTTGTAGACCCCAATGAGTGACCTTTGGCGTGTCAAGACCAATTACTGAGCCCACCTGACTGGAGTCCCACATGGATGGGTCAGGCAGGTAGTGGTCGCACGCTGGGGCTGGGGAGAGCTCACGTCCCCTCCCCAGGTCCAGACCTACATTAAAGGAGAAATTTGCTGCTATTGATTCAGGGCTTATGTGGGAGGCCAGGAGTCTTGGTGTATTGGGGTGGGGAGGCAGGGTCAGTGCCTAGAAAACCTGTCCCCAAGTAATAGGTTTGCAGTCCTTGGGAAGCCACTGATGGTGGGGACAGGGCCAGGTTTCATGTCTCCTGGGGACTCTGAATTTCTCCTGCAGGAGAAGCCATTTGAACTTTTTCAACTGTATCAGTAGCTCAGTATTTTTGTATGAGAAGTGGGAGACTTCTGAACAGTAATTCATTTAATTGCAACATTTTGAAATAAAAAGATAAAACTCAGTTTAGCTTTGCATTCTGTTCCCGGAGGCGGGCCGACACCTCCCTGGGGCGATGGCTCTAGCACAGAGCCCGCCGTAGGGCCTGCACTCGAGCGATGCAGACGTTAATGGGCTGCCGCTGAGCCTGGACCTCTGCAGCCAGCCGCTGGATCTGCAGTTCCACCTGGGGGCCGGGTAGGGACAGGCTAAGCTGCGAAGAGGCACATCTAGAGCCCATCCCACGACCCGCTTGGGACCTCACCTCCTCCAGTTCTCCCTGCACCTGCTGCTCTGCTTCCTGGTCCTCAGGCCTAGGCTCCTCCCGGCTCAGCTCCAGCCACCGGCGCAGGCTGCTTGCTTGCCGCTGGTAGGACCTGAGGCAGTGAGACACCCGCTGTGTGCCTGGCTGGGCCCTTGGTGGAGGCCCAGGTTTGCAGTGAGGCACGTGGGCTATTTTTCATGCACGTGTAGGAGGGAGGGTTGTTCCTATTCCTCTCCCGGCCTCCCCACTGTCCAGTGGATGGCACCTCGGATGGGCCTGGCGGGATGGGGAACCCCTCCCTGTACCTCCAAGGCTGCTGCTATGGTGAAGGTCCCCAGCCTCGGCTTGCAGGCTCCAGACCCAGACCATAGGCGAGACAGGACGGCCCACTACGTGCAGCTGGGGCCACGGCCTATATTCACACTTTTTCTCCCTCTGTCACAATCATGGCATAGATATGCCACTGGCCCGGCCTTCACGTGACCCTTTCAGGTTTAAAATTTTCTCAGCTTTCTTGTTGCCCCATCCCACAGGTAGGGCCAACCTGGCCTTCTTAAGGAGAACTTCCTATAGGTGCCACCCGTGTGCGGGAGGCCAGCAGTGCACACAGTGTAGGTGGATCAGCCTTAGGACCCAGGCAGCCAATTCCCAGCTGATCCCTGTGAGCGGGGGTGTCTTACCTGAGGTTCTGCCTCATGCTCTGGTAGTCCTGCAGTTGCTGCTTGATGTCCTCAAGTTCAGCTTCCAGTTCAGAGTGGCCCGTGGCAACAGGAGCATAAGCTTGATCTTGACCACTCTTCTGGCTGGGCCCAGGCTGAATAGAGGGAGTCCAGGCGCTGGGAGCGGCCCAGGTGTTTGCTGTGCTGACAGGCCGCAGGTACACACCTGTAGTGTCCGAGCCAGGACCAGGCTGGGTGCTTGTGAGGTCCCCAGGAAGGAGCAGGCGGGGCTCGGGAACACTGGCTGGGCCCATAGGGCCCTGGCAGACAAGGCCAGGGGAGGTCAGCCATGCGGATGCCTGTAAAGGACGGGCGGACACTAGGAAGCTGGAGGAAGGCCCGGGACAGGGCGCCAAGGCCGCCCGCTCCAGGGGGAGAGTAGGCGAGGTCCCAGGAGCTCGGCTTTTCCATGGCCAGCTCACCCGGAGTCCTGGCCCTGTCCTTCCTTCAGGACCAGACACCAAGCTACTCGCACCTTTGCAGGCTGGTCCCACCCCTTCCCAGGGCGTGGCTCAGCTCTGTTCCAAACAGCAGTTTCCAGCCTTCCCGACCTCTCACCCAAGCCTCACTCTGAGCTGTGACCTTCCAGTGAAAAAGTGCTCAGAGATTGTTCTGGTCCACCCACCCACGCCCACTCCTCCTGCCCCCTCCTGGTGAGAACAGTGCCCTCCCCGCCCAACTCCCGCCGGGCTCCTCCCGCACCGACTCTGGCTCCCCCGGGAGCCCGCCCCGCCGCAGTCTCCTCAGTTACTGAGCACTCGGGCTTTCTCACCCCTCCCTGCTCGGACTCCTTGATTTTCATTCTCTGTTTTGATCTCCAGACCTGACTCAGTCCTGTTGCTTTACCTCAAATTTGAGAGGTTTAAAACAATGCTTCGCCCAAATGCTCTCCCCCCCGAAGTGTTCCTTTTTTCAGTAAAGAGCTCATCATTCCTTGAGTTGTCCAAGCCAGGTCCCTGCCTTCACTCATATCAAACCCATCAGAACAAGTCCTGCCTGGGCGGCCATCCCCGTCTAGGCCTCGTCTGCAGCCGCCGGCACCTTCTGCTGGGCTGTCAGGTCACAGCAGCCAACCCTCCGCCACAGCGTCCTGCTCTTTCAAACCCGGACCCTCACCGGGCCTGCGCGGCCCTCTGTGGTCTGCAGTCTCTGTCCGTCTGCCTCATCTCTGCCACTGGGACCCATACAGCATCCTGTGCGGGGGGCCTTGGCAGGCTGCTCCCTACTGTGTCCCTAGAACAGTGGCACCTACACTTGGTGAATGAGTGGCCTCACTGCCTCTTCCTGAGGTCGGAATCTTCCAGAAGTAGTAAGTATAGCTGGGGCTACAGCACCAAGGGCACGAGAAAGAGCACTGAAAGCCAGACCAAAGAATGGGACCCCAGATGTCCGGGGGGACTTACCCCAGCGGGTGCGTCCACCCCACGTGGCATGAAGGAGGACGGGGGCAGCAGCTCTGGGCCTGTATTCGCCGTGGGGGACAGCTTCAGGCCAGGGGCACCTGGCAGGGTCCCAGGCTGGGGCAGGGAGCTGCTTGGGACCAGTACTGTCTGGGCCTTTTCCAGCAAGGGCCTCGTCAGGGAAGGGGCGGCCGGCTGGGCCATGCCTAGGCCTTGCTCCCTCAGCGCCTCAGGCCTGAGCAGAGGGAAGGCAGGAGCCGGTCAGGCCTAGGTACCTCCTGAGGAGCATGAAGGAAAGGGGGCACCCGTCCTCAGGCCCCAAATCACAGGCTCTGGTTGGAGGTACCATCAGCTTTTGGGGGCCCAGGACCACACGACCTACCCCGGTCCCCCAATGGTGCCGTGTGCCAGGACACTCTGGCTCTGCAAGGGATCCAGCAAGAATTTGGGGCGTCGTGGCTGCTTCCTTGTCAAGCGGACGGCATTGCTGGGAAAAAACATGGGCCTGGTCCTCCAAGCTGCTCAGGGGCTGCAGGGGCCCGAGAGCTCTGTGGGGTAGGGGTCATCCAGTCCAGCCCTTCCAGTCTTGCAGGGAGACTGGAAGCCAGAGAAGGAAAGGCTCTTGCCCAGGGTCAGCGGGTGAGCTGGGGTGGGCCTGGGCCAAAGAGAACTTCCGGTGACTCCAGTGGAGCGAGCCTGGTGCCTCACCCACATCATCTCTTGAACTCTACAGCGCCCCTGCTGATACAGTTGCTTGTCCCTGTCACAGGGGAGTGGGCTTGTCAAAGTCAGGGGATGAGGCACAGCAAGATTAAGGTCTAGGCCAGTACCCCTCCCTGCTGGTGCCCCCCCACCCCCCGCCTCAGGCAGCACTGGGCGCTCTGGAAGCCAACAGCTACACCAGCAGTGTGCGGGGAGGGGGCAGGGACCAGGGCATAAAACAGGAGGTTTCCGAGAGGGAGCCCCGTTTGCTGGCTGTTAGGGGAGAGCAGGAACGCTGACAGGCCTGAGGGCAGGAGAGCGGGACAGTCTAGGGATAGGCCCCCCTGGAGAGAGGGGTCCCAGTGACTTAGCGATGACCCTAAGGGACGGCTACTCACAGATCCAGGAGTTGGGGGTCCCCTGCAGCCAGGGCCAGGCTGCCCAGAGCTGTCAGCGGCCCATAGGGAGCTCGTGGCCTCTCGGTCTCCAGGGCAGCATCCCCAGCACCAGTAGTGACGTGGTCAGGAAGGAGACCCTTGAATGTCACTCTCCTGCTGGGCACGGGGGGTGTGGGGGGCCGAGGCAGCCTGCCTGGGCCCAGCGCCTTCCGTTTCCACAGCGTGGCACAGCGATGGACTGCCCGGCGGAGGCTGCAGGCCGCCTGCAATGGCCTCTGTCAGATCGCGCCATGTCCTGCCCGCTCCGCGCCAGAAGGGCAGGGGGGACCCTGGGCCTACCTGCGCCTGCTGCTGGGCATGCAGCTGCTGCCGGAGTGCCTTCATGCCAGCTGCGAACCGCAGCAGGCAAGCGACGCCCTCCCGGAGGAGCTGCTGGTGGTAGGCCTGCACCGCCCGCTCCAGCCTCACCTTCTTCCTCCTCCTCTCCAGCACAAAACCCAGCCACGCGGCCCACACCTCCGGGGGGAGGAGAAGGTGAGGCCTAGTTCTCCCTGCTTAGGCTCCCGCAGGGGCTGTGCCCACAACCCACCCTGCCCTCCACCGAGGCACAGTCCTCTCCTGGGAGGGGCAGGGGCAGGGGATGAGGCGTGCCCATTACCTTTGCCTGTAGCGAGAAGGCCCAGAACCAAAGGGCTCGTGCCGTGCCCTGCTGCTCCTGCCTCCTGTTCACCAGCTACGGGCCAGAAAGAAAAGATTACCGAAAAATCCCCTTCAGAGAAGCCACCCTGACCACAAGGCCCTGGTACTCTCAGACCCCTCTCTGCCAGACCCTGAGGGAGTGGATCAGGGAATGGTCCTCTCACAAGAGCAAAGGCAAAGAGCTCTAGGGGAGGGCACAAGTGGGGGGAGCATGCTGGGCTGGCAGGAGGAAGGCTGGGGACATGTCCATGTTGCATTCCAGGGAGCAAGAGGGACACATGCACATGAAGGTTTGCTGAGCAAGATGCAGTCCCACCTGGCGTTTTATCAAGGCCTTGCATAGACTTAAAAGTATTTCCTATTAATTTTAGCATGTTACCCTGATGTATTTTTTTAAGATTTTGTTTATTTTAGAGAGAGGGGAAGATAGGGAGAAAGGCAGAGAAACATTGATATGAGAGAAACATCAATCAGTGGCCCCCAGTGTGCGTCCCACCTGGGGACCAGGCCTGCAACCTAGGCACGTGCCCTAACTGGGAATTAAACTGGTGACCCTTCGTTTTGCATTATGACACCCAACCAGATGAGCCACACCGGCCAGGGCCTGATGTATTTTTCAATGTGACACACATAAACAGGAACCTGAAGTGACTTGCTCTTACACAGTCGTGGGTGGAAGGAAGCTGGCAATGCCCAGGAATGCCAGGGGTGGGGAGGGGTGGGGACAAGCCCTGGGGAAAGGGGCTTCTCCGTAGCTCCCACCTGCTGCCTCCACTGGCAGAAGCAGGACCGGCTGAGCGTCTGGGCCAGGAACTGGGCGCCCCGCCTCTGCAGGAGCTGCGGAGAGAGTGGGCACACAGTTGCCTCACACCCAGGCTGCAGACTCCCCACCCAAGGAACGGTCTTCCCATGGCCAGGTGTCCTGGGTGAAGCCAGGGGCCTCCTGCACCAGGCAGGGGCTTCTAGGTAATTCCACAGGTCCTCCAACTCACAGGCCATGATTCAGAGTGAGCTGGGTTTCTCTGCTAAACCAGCACCCACCAGAGGGAGACCCAACCTGAGGCTGGCGTCCCCCAGCCATCCCAGAAGGGCTCCAGCAGCCTTGTGCCCACGGGACCCCAAGCCACCCAGCATCCATACTGGCTGCTCTGAGCTCTGCGGGAAGGACCTCTTCCTCCCCGGGAGGTGGTCTCCTGGCCAGGGCGGCTCCACAGCACAGAGGAACTGGTGGAGTTGCTGCCTGCCTCACCTTCTTCCTGACACAGCCCAGATGGTGCACCTTCCACTGGGCGAGGCCCTGCAGCAGCAGCCGCCGACGGTAATGCTGCGCCGCTCTCTCCAGCTGGGCTCTCTGCTGGGCTGCCCGCTGGCCATGATCCCGCCAGCACCGAAACCAGGTCCTGAGACGGCCTAAGACAGATCCACGTCAGTTTGCTCTTTTGTGGGATCTACATGAACTATGTCATGGACAAGGTTTAGAGAACAGAGAATGGAGGAGGCTGCCTGGAGACAGCTGGGGTGTTAGCCCACACTCAATGAAACCACCACATGTGGATGTTCCTCTGAGGACTGCTCCAGCCACGTTGAGCAACTGGGCACGCTGGGCACTGGAACCAGGTCTGTGTTGCTGTTATGATCTTCCCAAGAGCCCACGAGAGCCACAAGGACTGCAAGATGCTGCCGGGAGACTCAGAGGACCCTCCGTTCGAGAGAGTGAGAGGTGGTGGCCCTGTCTTGCCAGGGAGGAAACCACAGCTCAGAAGTCCAGCAGCCCAAGCCAGGCAGGGTCTGCATCCTGCATTTTGTTTCTGTGTCACCAGATTCCTTCTTGAGGAAACAAACACCTTCTGGGGTTTTTTTTCCTCCTTTGGGTTTTTTCCTTTGCTTAGGCTCTGAGAGAAGAACACTGATGCCCAGATGGGGTGTTCTCCTGCACCTGTGGGAGGGGTCAGGGAAGGCAGCGCTCACAAGCCTAGAGGCCAAGCGTTAGTACTGAACGCCGACACTTCCGGGGCCCTGCCCTAAGCACATATGTATTAGCCTCACTGGACCCTCATAACAACCCCAAGAGACGGGTAGCATTATCCCCATTTTACAGATGCAGAAACTGAGGCTCAGAGACAAGGACGCGCCCCAGGTTACATAGCCAGCACTTAACTCCTGCCTGTACTTCTTAAGCACTGTTTTAACAATGACACGTCGCTCCTAGTTCGTCCTCCTCCAGCACCCAGCCCTACGCTTGGACTGCCAAGGTGTGCCTATAACAGAGAGGCCTTAATTAAGCCAAGGAATGGCCCCACGGGTATTGAATGCACATCTACTATGCGCCGAGAACACAGTCTCCAGTCTCCCAAGCCCCTTGTATTGTCCTTAGTGGACATGGCAATCCCAGGGCCTTCCATGTGCTGCCACTCCCTTCTAAAAAAAGCTGCCTGCCCCGCAATCCGGCGCCTGTTCCCTCTAACCCCCCAAAGTGGCCACCAAGGCCAGGAGTGCGCACCGGACCCAAACTGGCGAGGTCCGTGCAGTGCCCAGGTGCCACGGCCCTGTCCGGACAGACACCAAGGACCGGGCCGAGCCTCTTGGCTTCTTTCTTGGGAGTAAACTAGAAACGCAGCACTGGCTTCTGGGGTGAAGGGCAGCTTGAGGACACAAAGGAGCACATGGAACCCCAGGGTTCTGCCCAGAGGAAAGCGGGATCTGTCTTTATCAACACAAACACCACAGTCAGCCAAACAAAAGCTGATTTCTTGTCGTGGAGCAGACTCCGTTAAGCCAACACAACAACTTGGTCTGTTTCCTCTATGGTCCAATTTAAACAATTTCCGTTTGTATTTTCATTTATTCTAACTACAAGCTGTCCCCTCCGTGTCGGAGTCCCACACTGCAGGGCCACTGCCTGTTTCTGTGCGTTGCACAAGCAGAGGTTCTCGTCTGGACTGTCTTCCCAGGCCGCCTGTTCAGCAGGTAGGAGGACTACCTGAAGCCACCTGAGCAAGTCCCTGCTCCCTGAACATACAAGGAGGGGCCCCCCTACACTAGAAGCAGGACCGTCACGATGGGGCTGACCTGACACGCAGCTGCCACTGGAAGGACTTTCCATCGAAACCACCCCACCCCAACCCCTTAAACTCTTCCTTTCTAGCTTCCTCTCCATACTTCCCTGTAGATCTCAAGCTTCAGCTTTTCGTTTTAACATAAAGGGGCTGGTAGTCAGTTGGGAAGAAGGTCCGTGCAGTGTTAGAATAACCGAGATCAAACTGGACCAGGGTGGGCTCTTCTTCCTACAGGGTGACTTGACTTACGAGAAGAGACACAAACACACAGGGCAGACAGACATGTGACGACAAAGGCCAAGGCTACAGTGACGTGTCTGCAAGCAAAGGAACAGCGAGGACTGCTGCGAGCCCCCGGGAGCTGGAAGAGACGAGGAAGGGTTCTCCCTAGGCTTCCAGAGGGAGCATGGTCTTGCCAGCACTTTGATTTTGGAAGTGGCCCCCAGAACTCTGCGAGGACAATTTCCTGTTGTCTTAAACCTCCCAGTCTGTGGTGCTTTGTCACCTCAGCAACAGGAAACAAACACACATGAGAGTGACAAAGACTAAAGGGAAGCAAACGGCACAGCGTGACAGTTCTGGGTCCTTCACAACCGTCTCCTCAGCTGCCAGGGAATCCGCTTACCCCTCTCCAGCACCTTCCGAGCCTCCCTGATGGCACAGTCCTCCTGCTGTCGGGAGTATATCTGCACCGACGCGACCTCCCGCCACTGGACCAGGACCTAAGGGGCAGCAAAGAGCAGAGAGGCCTGACTTCCTGGGGACACCGCAGCTCTGCTGGCAGCTCCTCGTGGAAGGCGGCCAAGTGGTGGACACATGTCGCTGACACACATTCCAGGAAGCATGTACCACCCACACAGACCGCCAGCAGCGGGCAGACCCCCCAGTCCCCGCACAGGAAGCCCAGGACCTCAGGTGGTGGGACCTTTCTACCAGGAGGAATCAAACCTCATTCTGTTCTATTTGTTAAACAGAAACTATACGTTGCGTGCACGCTCATTGTGAGACTGAGGAAATCGCAGGAACAAAACACTTTAAAAAGCAGTCAGGCAGCTGGCGGACGCCTGGTTGGTGCCTGCCCCCCAAACTATCACAAACTCCATTCACCCCAGAAAGGCCTCCTCCCTCTGAGCACTGACGCCAAGCAGAGTCCTGACCCTCCTTCCGGGGCAGGGGAACCACACGCTGGCCTTGGTGCTTTCCTGAGGGCAGGCTGGGCCTCGGCCAAATGCAGTCGCCCTTCCTCTACGGACACTTCAAAGGTGTTAGGAGCTGTCCCTACCCAGGCCTGCCAGCAGGGCTCCTGACCTACTGCTTTCTTCTAAAGTGTCCCTGAGTCCAGGGACCACCTCTGTCATTCCCGTTGTTTTGAGTCCCCTGTCTTGTAACACGTCTTCTTCCCACAGCCACGTTCTACCACCCCCTTCCTGCCCCCAGTGCACGGGGACCAGACCCCTCCACGTGGTATTTTGGGGCCACTTCCCACCAGCAATGCCCACATGGGATGCTCTACGCTTGCCAGAATGTCCCGAGGCCAAAAGCCCTGCGCGGCTGATGAGGAGGAGCAAGCGTCTTCTGACCGATGTGGAGGCAGACGCATGGTGATTAAAAAATTTGTCCCAGTGGAAAAGTCCACGTGTGGAAAATACTGGTTCTGATACAAACTATTTCATTCACTACATGCTGTGTTCCCTTTTAATAAATATCGGGTCATAATTCAGTAAAATAAATAAAACCCAATGGCTCACCTGGCCGGGGAGGAGAGTTATCCCGTTTTCTAGGTTCCTTGTTCAGTTCAGATCCCTGACACCACCCTCCTAGGCCACTGCCCTGCAGGAGCACATCCCAAACCCTCCTAGGGGACCAGCTGGCCTCCCCAGGCCTCACCTTGAAACATACGGTCCTTCTGTAGTGAGCTCTTGCTTGAGAGGTTTTCTTTGCTTCATCCACGCGGGCTATGGTGTTCTCTCTCCAGCGACGGAACACACGCCTGCAGGTACACAGGCCACGACACGGGGTGACACCAGTAGGGAGCGTGTGAGGCTTCTGTGAATCACTCCTGGTTCTTCAGTCCTCTCCTAACCAAGGACGCACTGTGCCTGACGACATCTGTTTCACTGACAGCCATGTTTATGTTGACATAGACATGGAACGCTCAGTTGCTGAGCACCTGCCCTGTGCCAGGCACTGGGGACACCGTGGGGAACAAGACCAAACATCACATTCTCACACAGTTAAGTGCTACGGGGAACACAGAGTCATAACCAGGCAATGACAGGCAGGTGAGTCACACCATGAAAAGGGAGCTACGGAGAAAGGGCAGCGGGAGGGAGGGCGCCAGAACTGTGCTCGGCGCTGAGCTAGTCCAGGGACTCCCTCTTCCGTGCCACTCTGAGGAGCTGAATGGATACTTTATGGGACTCTGAGGGAGGGACTGTGGTGTTTAAAGTCCACAAGGCCCACCGCCCACAGGCAGCCTGGAAAAGGAAGGAAAAGAAAGAGCGGAGTGAGGCGGGCCTGCAGGAGGAGTGAGTTTAGAGCTTGGCTTAGCCGGAGCTGGAGGATGGGCTCATGAGGGAGCTGGAGCCGAGGCAGGTGGGCTCCACGGGTGCCACAGGTGCAGAAGTCCCTAGGGATGGAAAGAGGACTCTGGAGAGTTAGTGAAAGGTCTGGAGAGCCAAGCAAGGAGGCGACTGACTGGGACCTGAGAGGCAGAGGGAGCCATTGCAGCTTCCAGAGCAGGACAGGTGCTAGAAGGTGCCTTGAGAAGCTGAATCTTTCAGGTCGAAAGCGGAAGGCAGAGCAGGCACTCAAGAGGAGCGAGACTAGCGGGACATCTCACAGACATCCAGGTGAGAGCTGCTTCCCTGAGGTCCCACTTTGTACACAGCAAGGGCTCAGGACATATGAGGTGAACCAGTGAATGGGGTGCTTGCCATGGAAAAACCAAAGCTACAGGCAGCACGAGGCAGCCAGGCCCGTCCTGTGCCTGGCCCTTGGCAAAAGTCCCCTCCTGCCCGGGTCTGGATCCTGCTCCCCGATCCTCAGGCTGGGCCCGGGAGACTCACCGCAGCAGCTGCCTCTTGTGCTGGCTTTCCCTGGCCGCCACCTCTTGCAGGACGCTCCACACCCGGCTCTGGTAAATCTGCAGGAGACCAGGGCTGGAGGCCGCCCCTGGGCCCACAGCTCTCCCCATTCCCAGGCAGGACTCAGAGCTTCTCAGCAGGGACTTTGATGCTAAGAGCACTTGCCCAGAGGGTGGGGAGAGGCCAAAAGGCTCCAGGCCCAAGGCCAGGAGACCACCCAGACAACAGGGAGAGGTCTGTCTTACTAGGTCCTCACCTAGTAAGTCAGACCACTAGACTCCTGGACCAGGGGCCACTTTGACAGTAAGGCTGGTGTCCCCAAGACAGCACTTGCTTTTAATTTCCTTGTTTGTATTTGCTGAGCAAGTATGGAAAAACTTAACCCTGCGGCTGTAAGACCCACTGTCCAGGGCACTTGCTCTGTTTGTGAGGAATTACTCTTTTCTGAGAGGGGCAGGAAGAACAAAGAAGGAAAATGAAGTCTTCAGGATTCCCCTCCCCCAAAGGCAAGGAGAGGTGGGGGAAAGCTCCTACCCCCCAGCTCTGCAGCACCCTGCGCTGCAAGGCGTGCTGGTGATGCAGGTCTGCTCGCATCAGCTTCTGCCGCTCAGCGCCCCGCAGGCCCAGGCACTGTGGACAGGAGAGAGCCGGCCGCGGAGGGCCGAGCGGGGCAGGCTCAGCTTTGCCTCCGTTTTGCAAGCAGTATGTAGGAGCTTGGGTAAGGATAAAAACCTGAGAGCCCCAGCTCCCTCATCTATAAATAGGTACCTTTAGGGGTCTTGTGGTGATTAACTGGGTTCAGTGCCTGACTTAGGGTACATGCTCCAGCAATGTTAGCATAAACATTTTTGCTCAGAGTAGGATGCATTATCAATGGTCAGACGAAGAATTTCAGAATCAGTAAGTTCCGATAAGAACAGCCTAGCCCGTAAAACAATTAAATTTTGAGCCAATCATCTCGCGAAGCCAGGTTAACATTCTTCCTCTGCTGCCTGGCCTCCTCCCTGTGCTCTGAGGCAGGTGGTTTCCGAGGGACTGAGGAAGAGCCCATATGGCTGCTGAGTCACACTGACACACAGCTCCACCTGTCCACAAGCCTCATGTGGGTGGCACCTGTGCCAAAGCCTTACCTCCCTCCACCTGTTCCAGGCCCAACGCAGGAGCCGTGCTGAGTGGAGCTCTGCAGCCAGCACCGTGCCCATCTTCCTGTGGGGAGAGCGCACTCAGTGCTGCGCCAGAGGCGGCTAGGGCCCTCTCGGGGGTGCCGCTTCACGGCCCCTGGCTCCTGCGGTTCTTAAATTTGCCAGGGAGTCAAGACCCACTCTCAAGAGCTGCCAAAGGATTTGGGCTCTCCATCCAGGAAAGTACACATATAATCAAGTTTGCGCAGACTACCTCACAGGGCTTCAAGTACCGCTGAAGCCAGCTCATGTGCAAGTGGCTGCGTAGGAGGTTAAGTGTGGCCAGAGTCTGAGAGAGGTGGAGAGACCCACACAGCGCAAAGTGCACAGAAAGGCACCAAGCAGGACAGTGTCTATAGTGGGAACGCGGGCTGCCAGTCCAGCCCCACTAACGACGAAGTACGGTAAACACTGCCACGCCACACCCACTGGCCACAGCTGCTGTTCCTGGAGAGGGGGGTCAATTATGCCCAGACAAGCCCATTAGTCTATTCCTCGGCCATGGTCGCTTCGAATGAGCCCCCACCAGTGAGCAGGACGTAGCCTACGGACAGGACTTCAGATCCATAGGCGTGTTTGTCCCCAGTCGCATTCCAGGATCCTCTCTCTACAGCCCCGGTTTTGCTTGTTTTGGACTATAATTTCTAGAACTTATAACCAGAGTCTACACTAACATGACCTTCTGGCTGGGCACTGAGATCTGACAGTGCTGCTACTATGATCAGAGCTAGTCTGAGATGGGAAAAGCTTCTGAGGCAGAACCGTCCACCCACTCTGATCTGAGCCCTCGGGCACTCTCCCTCCAAATGGAGAAAGCCGTCCTGAGCCTCCCCTGCCGGTGGTGGGCACAGGCCACTGCTTGCCGCTGCCGCTGCTGGCAATGTGCTGCTGCCTGCTGCCGCCACGTGAACCAGGACCTTCGCAGAAGCTGCCGCTCGGCATGAAGGATGGCCTGCAGCAGGACGGGAGAAAACTGAATGGGTCAAGTAGGAGAGGATACAGAAGCTGGAAGAATCTAGAGCCTACAAATAATGACCAATGCAAAAGAAATTGTGTGGGCCCTGGCTGGTGTGGCTCAGTGGATTGAGTGCTGGCCTGTGAACCAAAGGATTGCTGGTTCGATTCCCGGTCAGAGCATGTGCCTGAGTTGCAGGCCAGGTCCCCAGTAGGGAACACACGAGAAGCAACCACACATTGATGTTTCTCTCCCTCTCTTTCTCCCTCCCTTCCCCTCTGTCTAAAAATAAATAAATAAAACCTTTAAAAAAAGAAATGATGTGGGAGGTGGCAGTGGGTAGGGCAGAGGAGAGTAATGGGGAGGGGGGGACACAGCTATAATTGAACAACAATAGAAAAAAAAAAGAAGAAAAAAAAAGGACATTCAGGAGCCAGCTGCCCTGGCCCAGAAAGCCATCTGTGCAAAGGCAACAGATGCCCCAGACTGGGCCCTGTCTTGTGAGTCACAGGCAGGATGTCCTGGGTTCCAGGCGACATCTTGTGGAAAGGAGGCAGTGAAGGCAAAGACCTGAAATGGGTCCTGCCCGCGCCGTACACCTCCTCCAGGAAATCCACTTACTATTCTCTCTGCCAAGCGGCTTTCTTGATGCTGAAACATCTTCTGCCACCAAATAGCAAATACTTGCTTCTCTAATGTCTCCCTACAAAAAATGTATAATAAAGCACTTAAAATTAAGCAACTAAAAAAGAGCAAAAAGTTCAAAGTGGGTTTTTCCTTTTACACTGTACTATTAAGAGGCAAATAAGCTTAGCTAGGGAGAAAGAAAAGGGGAGAAAAGGAAAGCAGAAAACAGTGGGCACAAAACCCACAAACAACCTAATACTTTCCAAGTATTTCTGGTATCAGCTAAGCACACAGTATGAAAAAGACCCAGACTTTGAGACCCTGGTTCTTTTTCATTTCCATGCTGAATTACCAAGAGTGATCAACAATTACCAGTGAAAGCTTTCCTGTCCATGCTGACCAGCCAGAACACAAATCTTTGAGGCAAGTGGCTTAAAATAGATGCCTGGCCCCCAAGGCTGAATGAGAAGGTCTGGCACCACCCCAGGACGCAAAGTTTAAAACAAGTGTGCCAGGTGAGGTAGACAGGGAGATAGGTTTAGGAACCACTGGCTCTGTCCTCTGTTGCCTCTGCCTCAGCCCGCCTGCTCACCATAATGAAGTCAAAGCCCGCAAAAGCAGGGCTGGGACAACTGGTCAACAGCCACCAGGGGCTGTGCACAGGCAAAGCCATGTGCTCTCACTGATTTTTATTTAAAAAACAAACAAACAAAAAAAAAACTGTTAGAAAATGAAAAGGCAAGCCATATACTAATACTGGAAGACAATCCTTTCAATACATATAGCTGACATTGGACTTTCATCCAGAATATATGAAGAACTTCTACAAATCAATAATAATAAAAAGATACATAACGCAATGTCAGAAAAGCCAGGGAAAAGACTTGAACAGGCACTTCACAAAAAATTAACAGTCAATAAGCACATGATAGAAGACTGAAAGAGTCAAAACCTGAGCTGCCCCGCCATCGGTCAGATGGACGGGACAGGCACACTGACGCAGCTGCAGCTGCGAGGAGACACTGCTCCTCCCCAGGTCACCCAGCAGTCGCAAACACCACAGGGACCCCCTCTTTGAGCGGTTGTTGCTTCCTTAACAGCGAGCCCCAGACAAGCTCTGCTGCTTTCATCTATTCCCGAGGATACTCATGACAGGACTCCTAGGGAACCCCCACTTCTCATCCCTCCTAATCTTGCCTCAGAAATAGCAACCAATCCAAAACCGACCCCGGCTTCTCTGACCCTCCTCAGGATCCCTCAGAGGGAACCCAAACCTTGCAAATTCTTCGCCCTCAGGCAGAGGAGCTCTCCTGAGTGTCCGCGGTCAGTCTGACTTGGTCGAACAACAGGTTTTTTTGTTCCTAGCGGATTAGGCTTTAATGATGCTCACATCGTTAGTCACTAGGGAAATGAGCACTCCTTACGCGCCAAAACAACTAAATTAAAAGGACTGTCAGAACCAAATGTTGGTGAGGATGTAGAGTGACTTGAATTCTCCTATTTTCCAGTGGGAGTATAAAATGATGTGACCACCTATAAGCATGTACTAGGTATCTACCCTAGAAAAATGAAAACAGTCCACTAACACAAATGTTCACAACCGTTTTATTTGTAATGGCTTCGAACTGGAAATGACTCCTATTTTAAAATGGATCAAAATATTGTCTTATCTTTATATAATAGCATACAACTCAGCAATAAAAGACTGAACTGCTGATACACACAACGACGTGGCTCAATCTCAGAAACATTACACTGAATTTTAAAAGAAGCCAGACACCCTGGCCAGGTGGCTCAGATGGTTAGAATGGCATCCCAATATGCCAAGGTTGTGGGTTCAATCCCAGGTCTGGGCACATTAACAAGAATCAGCCAATGAATGCATCAGTAAGAGGAACAACAAATCAATGTTCCTCTTTCTCTCTCCCCGTCCCTTATTCTCTGTCTCTGTCTCTCTAAAAATCAATTAAAAATAAATAAAAAACAAGAAGCTAGATACAACAGGACACATACTGTATGATCCCATTACGTAAAGTTCAAAATCATGCAAGATTAATCTAGGATGACAGAAATCAGAATAGTGTTACTCTGGGTGAAGACTGACTGGAAGGTAGCATAAAGGAACTTTCTGGGGTGATAAAAATATCCTTCATCACGACTGGGGTATTGATTATCCAGGTATGTAACTTCTGAAAACTCATCTGACTGTTTACTTAACACCTGCGCTTTTCACTGGATATAAATTATAGCTCGATTTTTAAAATTTTGCCTGCAGGTAAAACTACCACTTTGAGTCATAATTCATGAAATTCCACTGTAAACTGTTTGTATTCCTAAAGCATTAAAAAAAACCCTAAGAATTATGGAAAGATGAAACATTCATATTTATTTGGAACTTTGATTTGCTCAAGTCCAAAACAAACCTGTGAGTATTAACTGACCATGAGAGTTACAAGTCAACTCTAGGGGTAGGGGGAGAGTTAATACTATGCTTGGGCACGCCACTTGTATTTTACATGAATCACTCCACTTACTTTTCATGACAACACTATGGGACAAAGACTATTAGCAAATCATCTCCATTTTTTATCCTTTTTATTGAATTCATTACGGGTGCCACTGGTTAACAAAGTTATACAGGTTTCAGGTGCACAATTCCACAACACACCATCTGCACACCGTGCTGTGTGTTCACCACCCCGAGTCACTCCTTCTATCACCATTTGTCCCCCTCACGCTCCTCAACCTCCTGCCACCCCGACCCCCTTAAATCATCTCCATTTTAATTTGAGGGAACTGAGGCTCACAGCGACTGAGGGGCCTGCCCAGGGTCACAGCGCTGGCAAGAGGTGGAACGAGGGTCTGAACTCAGGCCTGTCCAGCTTCCGAAGCAGGCTCTCACGCACTCTGCTCCCTCATAAGCCAGGACGACAGGAACCCGAAAAACTAAGTTTTCTGCAAAGATCCAACTAAACCAAAACGAGACAATCAGGCCTTCGCCATCCTTCAAGCCTCCTGGCTACTCCCTGTCTCCAACTCTCCCACCACCCTTCTGCCTGCAGAGCATAGCTGTAAATTCGCCCAAGACTGTTCCCCACCAAAAATCCTTTTAGAAGCTCCTCTTGGCTATACCCTCAATGTTTGGTCCCCGGGGTATGCCAAAATACAGAAAAAGCAATAGAATCAATTGTGACTTTATTTGTAAAGGAACAAAAGGGCATGTGTGTTTTAAGTAGTGAAGCCATTTTTTGAATCAATCTAATACCAGACCTCACCACCGGAACTAGGTAAAGGCGAAGCCACCCTCTGTGGAAGTGGCAGAGGCAAGCGCTATCCCCTCAGGAGCCACTATTCCCCGTGACGATGCCCTAAAACATGTCCTTGGACTTTGCGCTGAGGAGCCCTGGAGTTTGGCTGATCCCCTCAGGTGAGCATTCAGAGCCCTCCTAAGTCAAGATCACTGCGACTGCTCCCAACGCATGTCCCTCCCTCTGGTCTCTCTGTCCAAAGTTGATATCCATCATACTCAGGGCAATCTCCAGAGCTGTCATTTTACTAGCTGCATGCACCTGCTCAGACATCTGTCCCTCGTCTGTAGGACCAGGCAATGCCCTCAGTCTGGCCCTCCTCATCCTGCCCACCCCCGCCATCCAGCCTCGCCCCCTTGGCTCACAGCCAGGCCTCCCCCAGGTTCTAGCCTCAGCACTAGCTCTGAGTTCTAGAACCTGCGGCTGACATAGTTGAGAACACAAGATTCATCCTCCTGACCTGTTCAACTGTTTCTTGTGTAACGACCTTATCTCCTACAAGGTCATTAAAAAGATCTTCCTCCTTCTTGGACTTTGGAATCAGGGAGCTCTGAATTTAAACCCAATCTCTGGTGATTACTGTTTGTATTACATGGGCGAGTCATTTGTCGTTTTGAACCTGATCTCTCGGGACTGCCAGGAGAAGAAAATTGCTAAGGACAACGATGATGTCATAGGCCAATGGGTCTAGCTCTTGGTTTCCTTGCTCCCATCACGCCATGCCTACCATAGTGGCAGACACGGAGTTAGCGATTAATAATTTCTTTACATTCCACCAACATGTCTTCCCAGTGGCAGCTAAAGATGCAGCTCGGCTCCTTGTCTATCCTAATTCCATCGTTTCAGAAAACCAGGCCTAGCAGAACAGGAACCGAATGATTCAGGGCGATCACACTCAAGAACGCCTGCCAAAGCAACGCAAGGTCCAACCACACTGATCCAGAAAGCTAATGGGCATCTTTAATGGGGCTCGCTGTGGTTTACAATGAGAGACGGGGCATAAAATCCAGACTTCTTTGAAGGCGTTTGCAATGAAAATGGACAGAAGTTTCCCTAGGGGAAAATACTGGCTGTCTTCCTGCTCGGTGGAATCAATGAGTGCACACTGAAAAACACCAGGGAAAACCTGGGCCGATGGGGCTCGGGGGCAGAAAAGCAAAGCAAAATGGTTGTGTGGGTGGCAAAACTAGACCCCCGACGCCTGCCCCCCTGCGTACCTGTGGAAGCGTGCTGCCCGTGCGTTAAGGACACTTTCTTGCTGGTGCCATCGCCAGAGTCTCCTCCATGCCTGGAAGGCCCCAGGCAGGGCCCTCTGCTGGAAGTGACTGTCCGCTCTGGCCTGTAATAGCTAAGGTAAAACACCGAATGACCATTATTTGTACTTTACATTAAAAAAGAAAGCGACTTTTCAGGGTCACACTCTTGAAGGAGGTTTGCTTCCTATACGAAATTGAGAAAAAGATTAAATCATTTTTAATCTCTGCTAACATGATAGGGGAAAACCGTTCACTTTCATTAAAAGTGGGTTGAGCACCTCTTCATATATTTATACGTGTGTTCGTCTATGTATATTTAACTAAAATTTTGTCCTAAGGCCTCAGTGTTCAACCCACTGCCCATTTTACTGTCAGCACTCAACTCAGCGACATATACACGCTTTTCAACCCTTAAGAATTTGTTGGTCCTTTGTCGTGTATGTTATCAAAATCATTCCCACCTTGTCATATAGCTTTTGATTTTGCTTATAATGTTCATCTGTAATACAGATTTTTTCAATTTGTATGTAATGCTAAAGGCTACTGCTATTTCACTGATACATCAGTAGGCAGACAGACAACTGACATAAGAATATATATACCTCCGTCATCCAAAACCTTGGCAAGCATGAAGCATATATGTATACGTGGTGGTTTTTAAAACAGGACTGCAAATTCTTTGCTTCTCCTTCACTGAGAAGTTATGTCCCCTCCCCGTGAATCTGGGTAGGACAGTGACTACTTTTACTGTTAGAGTATGGTGAAAGCGACACTATCTGACTTCGGAATCTAAGTCAAAAAGGCACATATAGTCTCTTCCTTGCTCACTGGAGCACTTGCTTTTGGAGCGCTGCGCTGCAGCCCAGGAGGTCTCGCCACCCTGAGGCCACCATGCTGTGAGGAAGTCCACGCCTCTTGAAGAGGCCACATGCAGGCCCCCTGGTTAACAGTCCCAGGGAAGCCCAGTCTTCAAGTCATTCCAGTCCATGAACCAGACATGTGAATAAAAAAAACTTCTAGATGATTCCAACCCCTTGCCATGAGAATCTTCCCAGCTGAGGCCCCAATAATCATGGAGCAGAGACGAGCCATCCTTGCCATGTGCTACCTCAATTTCTGACCTGCAGAATCTTCAAGCATAAAATGGCAGTTGCTTTAAGCCACAGAGTTTGGAGTAATTTTTCACATAGCAATGGAAAACTGAACAGTATGCCTGTGTGTGTTAATACGTGGATACACATACTCTCACCCACATGAAGGAAAAAAGATACCAGTTTTCCTTACCAAATGTTATCTTAAGAGGGAGGATTATGGGTATTTTCATTTTTTTTCTTTTTATATCCCCAAATTTTCAATAATATCTATATATTCCTTTTTACTTTTCATTATGAGCATTTTAAAATGTAAAAAAAAAAGTAGAAGCAATAGCATAATGAATCCCCATGAACTTATTATCCAGCTCAACAATTAGCAAACCTTTTGCCAATCTTTATATATTACTGTTATAAAAGAAAGAAACCCATAATAATAAATACTTTTTATCTGTTTCTGAAATGGAAAGGACTGATGTGTTCCTTGGATAGCTAAACCAAGAGATCAAACTTAGATTGTTAGCTAAAGGTGTTTTTTGTTTTTTTTTTTTTTAATGACAATAAAACTAAGCAGGGCTCTTACTAATTTTCTAGACCGACTGTGCAGGCCATGCTGGAGTAGTGGGACAGAGAAGAGCACTGACTTCTGACCTTCTACCAATGCTGGGCCCCCATGTCAAGAAGCTCTCTTTTGAGCCCTGGCTGGCGTAACTCAGTGCATTGAGTGCAGGCCCGAGAACCAAAGGGTCACCGGTTAGATTCCCAGTCAGGGCACATGCCTGGGTTGGGGGCCGGGATCCCAGTAGAGGATGCATGAGAGGCAACCACACACTGATGTTTCTCTCCCTCTCATTCTCCTTCCTTGCCCCTTTCTCTAAAAATAAATAAATAAAATCTAAAAAAAAAAAAAAAAAAGAGGAGGCAGCAGCACCAGCTCTCTTTTGCCCAGAAGGACTAAAAGAGAACTTCTACTTCTTCTCCACCTTGAATAAACGCAACCTTTTTCAGCTTTGGCCCTCACATTCTTTTTCTAAAAACTCTCTTTACATTCTGTTGCACTTGCACTAAAGCAGCTTAAGAGATCAAGTGGCCAATGTCCTTCCAGAAACAGTCACATAACCCAAAGGGATGTCAAAAATGCACCAATTCTAGGTACGGAAGGCAAGGTGACAAAAACAAGCCATGCCCTGGGTTAACTATCCACATTCCACGAACTGAGTCAAACTTTGGGAAAAACTTTGAAGTAATCAATGGCAATTCATTCTTTGTTGTTGTTGCTGCTGTTCATTCGTTTCTTCATTTATCCACATATTAGTCAGCACCTACCCTATGCCAAGCACTGTGTTGCACTAAGGAGAAGGAAGAGACAGGATGTACCCTCAAGGACCTCATAGCCTGAGAGGGAGAGACCAGTAAACAACCATGATAGGAATACGCTGATAAAGATGCCTCTAGGGTGGGGCTGGGAGAAGAGGTAACACCTGAGGTGAAGGGTTAGCTAGGAACAGAGAAGTGCAGGCACGTGAGAAGCAGGAAACAAAGCCCATTCAGGGAAGGAGTGGCGGCTTAATTGGTCAGAGCGCAGGTGCAGGTGCGCAGGAACAGAGTTCTGACAGGACAGGGAAGGGAAGTGGACAGGGGCCAGCTCCCAAAGGAGTCTGTATGCCTCACTCAAAAGTTTGGATTCTATACCAAAGCTATGAGGAATCAGCCAAAATCTCCAGATTCACACGTTAAGACAGGAGCAGCAGATGGCGGCGGGGATGGAGAGGGCTGGGCATGGCCAAAAAGAGGCATGTACGGCGCGGCTTCCCACTGCAATGCCCATGCAGACATCGCCAGTTGAACGCATGTTCCCCTCACCCTGAACATGGCCTCAAAATCCTTCTTGGTTCAGCACCCGTGACAGCTGCCCGCCATTGGAGCCGGCCTGCAAGGTCCCTGGGGCTGAACGACAAGCCCTGCGAGGGCAGCTTTGCCTGCTTCGCACCTCAGCTGTACCTCAGTGCTCAGCACAGTGTTGGGGGCACAGCAGCTGCTCAACAAGCCTTTCTTGAATGGACCGGAATCCGTCCTTCTTACTCTGCCCTCATTAATCCGTCAGCCTGACCCCCGCCTCCTCCGGCCGCTGTGGGTGTGTGTCCCACACTGTTCAGCTCTGGGATACGGCACTGATGCTCTGCATTTTTCCCACTACATTTTGAAGGTCCCACGGGGTGACAGGTAGCTAACTAATACAATCAATGAATTTAAGTAAAGATGTACATGGAATGAATGGCTGTTAAGAGCTCATCGCTTTCAGAGAACACCCACGTTTTCAAAGCAGGTGAAGGAGTGGGAATTGTGCAGACTTTCTGACATCACTAGAGGGAACTGGGGGAAATGCCTTTCGGCTTTTTACAGCACCCTCTCTTCCAAATCTCAACACCAAGGCCTCTTGGCATAGGCCTTTTTCAAGAACTTTTCCAAAGCAAATGAATCCAAGATGTAAGCCAGCAGAGCTTATCTGCGAAGAAGTGCTCCATACCTGCTTGTATCGCTTCTTCTGAGTATGTTGTAGCCACAACTTGATACACTTGCGTAGCAATGTTATTCTGAAATAAAACACAGAACACCAAGGTACTGCCCCGACCACTTCCAGGTTTCAGGTTTTAAGTTTTTATGTTGTTTTTGAGGCAGGTAAATTTAGATGTAATCACATTTGAGTGTTAAAGGCAACCCTAATTTTGGACTGTGGCTTGCCCAAAAATGTTGACCATTTTCTTGTAAACCTAACTAGACCACTGGGATTCTCACTAACTTATTAAAAAATTGCTCCAAAGTAAAACCTGTAACTATGCACATTAAGTGGATTAAACTGGCTTTTTTTTAGGGGGTGGGGTCCAGCGAATAGCAGTTAGCCCTAAAGAATAAGGCTAAGGGGTTGGGGGAAGGGACCCAGGCAGCTTTTATTTAACTCTCTGCCTTCCTTCCTACACACTGAGTTTTCCTCATGGACATGTGGTACGTTATATATTTATTTTAACTCAATGATTATCTCTAAAAAATTGAGGACACTCTCTGCACCTGTCAAAACCAAGCCACAAACATTCACCTGGCCTGGGCCTTCTCTTGAACAGTATTAATGCATGAATTCTACAATGTGAATGTTACTAAAGCTGGAAGGGCTGAGGCAGTGAGCTAGCAGGCACATACTCCAAACTATGGTGGCCAAGAACCAGTACAAATATTGTCATTCTACCTTTCCTCTGATCAGCCAAAAATAAACACAAGCTCAGGAACCTCTGGCTTATAGCAGGGCCTTTCTGGACCTGCTGCCTTAACACAGGGAAGGGTAAGCGCTTACTCCCGGAGAGCAGTGAGTCAGTCCCAACAGGCCCCTGGGGAGCCCCGGGGGAGGCCCTGAGTCCCTACCTGTAGTGGTCCCAGGCAGCTCGCAGCAAAGGGAGCAGCTCCCTTTCCTCCCTCTGCTCCACCTGAGACTGCCAGACGTTCCAGAACCTGCGCAGCAGCTGAAACAAAACAGGAAAAAAATGAAAGTTTATGAAGGCAAGCTGATCTCTCTTAACCTATTAGTTAAGAAATCTCTACTTCAAAAGATTGTAAGGTCCCCCAAAGCAGGAATTACCTCAATCTGGGGCACCCAACACATAACGGGCTTGCAGAACGATTATGGAGAAGCTATGTGGAGCTGTTCTAGGTCAACATGAAAAAGCAAAATGAAGGCCCTTCCAATCTATGGAAATCAGAAGCTATTTCCTCTGACACGGGCCTCTGGGAGACAATGCATTGTAGAAAGTAAAAGTGATCTTATCACATGTTGCTGCCCATGGAGTAGTCTGGACAAAAAATGTTTAACTTCAGTCTAATCAAGCCCTTAGATCTAACTTCCAGTTTATAGGAGTTACATAGAACAAAGGAAAATCAAATGACATCAAAAGGAGATAAATTTAGAATATGGAAAACTGTACAAAATAACTGGCCTTCCTTTTCAAAAGGTCAATGTCATTTCTAAAAAATAAACAAAAAGAATGTGCACACTAACGTAAGTGACATAAGCCAGCCACAAAAGGGCTAATATTATAAATATGAGGCACCTAGAGTAGTCAAATTCATAGAAACAGAAAGGAGGCTGGTGGCCACCAGCGTTGGGAGGAGGGAGAGCGGGAGCTGTTGTTCGATGGGGACAGAGTTCCAGTTTTGCAAAATGAAAACAGTTCTGGAGACGGATGATGGTGACGGTTGCACAATAATATGAACGTGCTTAAGGATATTGAACTGTATACGTAAGAATGGTTAAGATGGTAAGTTTTGTTATACGCATTTTACCACAATTTAAAAAATAAATAAATGTGTTACACAAAAGAAGCGGGGGAGACAGTTATAAGGAGCTTTAAGAGACAACCAAATGTAGTAAATAATCAGTCCTTAATTGAATTCTGGTTTAAAAAAAAAAAAAGAAAACACCTATAAAGAAATTTTGAAGAAAACTTGAATATGGGCCGGGTACTGAATAATAGGGATGTGCTGTTCACTTCGCTAGGGGTCATGATGACAGTGGGTTACATAAGAAAATGTCCTTTTTCGGTGATGCATACTGAAATGTTTAGATGTGAACTGTCATGCTGTCTGTTATTTACTGTTTAATGGTTCAGAAAAAAAATGAGGTAAATACAGCCAATATTACCAATTGTTGAATTTAGATGGTATTATATATAGCTGCTTATTATACTAGTCTTTATATTTTTCTATACATTTAAACATCAACAAAATAAGAAAACACCACCCTTCTCCACCCAGAAACACAGTCTGTAAGTAGAGACAGAATGGTTGTTGCTCTCAGGTAAATCCACCCCTGCAGAGAACAGACGCACAGCGCGCACACCACCAAGGCCTCCTACCGGGCAGGCTTAAACCGCATTCCCTAGGTTGGGGTCGGGGTCGGGGTCAGGGTCAGGGTCCACAGTCCCTGCCCTCCGATTCAAATACCAATTTTCTTAGCAAACAGAAAAAAAAATGGGATTAAACGTGGCAATAACAAAGGTTTCTCTACTGGCTGGCATGGATTATTAAAGAAAATGAACACCATGGTTTCAGAGTCTAAAGGCCTGGGGACTAATCTATAAGCACAAAGGTTAAAAAGAGAACGGCCATCAAGAGAGGACCCCTGATGCAGAGGGAGACCCTCACCATGACGTCATGCTGCTGCTGAGCAAGATTCCTTCTTACTCGCTGGAGGTGGGCACGGGTCACGTTGTCTTTTAGGGCTCTAAAGCAAAAGTGCTGTGAAAAGAAGAAAGGACACAACAGGTTACAAATCAAAATTGTCAGTAAAATTAACAGCAGTGCCTGAACCAGGTGGCAAGAAGCTCAGTCACAGCTGGTCACAGCTGTTCCCATGTCCCTGAGAGTGTTTCTCTTTCTTGAGTCGCAATGGGAGCCCAGTACAAGCCAGGCAGGCAGTAGGCACTTAATAAATAGCTGTCAAACCATTCCCTGCTGTCCATAGTAATGCACAGGAACAAACACACCCTGACCTCTGACCAGGACAGATCTCCCCGACCCAGGTGGAAACACTACAGACAAGGGCCAAAAACATCAACTTAGCCTCTCACAATGGTAACAGACTTTTAGCTTAAAAATGTTTTTTAACTATGTGGGGTCAACATTCATAATTGCACAATTATAAATGCAGTTTCGCAAGAGTAGAACAGAAGGAAGAGAAGGAGTCCTTGGTGAGTAGGGGATGAGGTAGAAGCAGGACACGCGGGCCTGGCTCCCGCTCCATCAAGGCCTCACACGCGACCCAAGCCAACCCCATTCTCCCGTCGCCTGGGCTTCAGCTTCCCGAGGCACATGCAGTGGTCAGGTGCTCATGTTGTGCTTTGTGGAACCCCACAGGGTGCCAGAGTGTTGGTGGAGGCTGAGGAGAGAATAGGTGCTACTCCCCGGACCTTGCTTCACCCTCAGCATTGCTACTCTGATCAATTTCACAGGCGAGGCTTCCACTGTGAAAATCGGAGCCCACCATATAAAAATAACCCAGGACTAGATCATCTCTAAGATTCCGTTATTGCTCCAGACGCCTCTGATCCCACACCATTACCATCTCTGATCCAAAACGACATTAGGGACACCCACAATAAAGGAGGGCTTCATGGCACCACAGGACCAGGGGCACTGAAAGAGCGTGATGTGGGTCCCAAAGCCCAAGAGAGGAAGCCTGAGCAGGGAGGACACACTCACCAGCAAGCTGTGCCTACAGTGCTCCTCTGCCACCTTCCACTGGGCGGCTTCCTCTGCACACAGCAGCACGTCTGCAGGAGTTAAGGCCTCTGGCCCCAAGGTCCCCACCCTCACTCACACAGTACAATCCTAGTGCCCCATCTGAAGGGTTCTGGCTGCAGATCATCGCAGAATGCGCAGACGGGCTGATGTCCGCCTGCCGCCTCCTGATGACCCAAGGACAGGAGGGCAAAGGGGTACCGTGGGGATTATTTATCAAACAAACAGCTGGCCTCGCCTTTCTCCCCTCTGATGCCCATTTCATAAGATGCAAAAGTTAGTTGAGACAAACTGCCAACAATTGCAGTAAACATTTCAAAATTGCCATATCTAAAGCAGAACTTCTTTCTCAACTGCATTCTCTGTTTTGGCATCACAATCCAGTCAGATGTTTCAGCTAAAAACCTTGGAGTTATTTTCAAACCTTTTCTTCTCCCACTTCGCCATCTACTCAGTCACCAAGTCGTCTGCTCTCCTCCTAAATTGCTCCTGTTCTTCTGTCCCCACCCCCAACACCCTGCCGTTCTTTTGACATGTTCCTCACATAGACTGATAAGAGAGCCCCACCTCATATAACTGGTGACCCTGTACTAACCTCACTCCCCTAATCTAGATTTACCCTTCTAAAGTGTGCACCTGCTGTACCACTTCTCAAATAATTCTAGAGGATCCCCAGTGCCGCCAAGATAAAGCCCAAATCCCTGACCCCTGCACACCAGGGTCCCCAGGCAGCCGCTCCCTGCACTGCCCTACCGCCATCCACCCCCCGCAACTCACTACAGACCCGTCAGGGTTCTTGCCTGCTCTCCCTCGTCCACGCCTGTGCAAGTGCCACTCCTCCCACCTGAAACACCCTTCCTGCTTCTCTGCTGGGCGAAGCTGTCATCCTCTAAGACTTCAACTGGGCTCAAGCAGCTCCTTGGCTGAATCCCCACAGAATCTCCCGCAGGACTTGATAAAAACCATTATCATGGCACACCTCACGCCATACTGTAAAGACCCATTTTCATGTCTATTTTCCCCACTTGGCCATGAACAGCTGTTGGTCTTTGAGTTTCGCCATGCTCCAGGACTTCGGCAGGGGTTTAAAACAAAGCAAGAGTCTGATGAACGAACGAGTGTGTGGATGCACATCCCAGGCAGTCTAAACCCTCACCCCCGGGCACACGCTGTGGCAGGGCCAGTGCGCCCTGGAGTCAAATGCCGGGGCTTAAAAACCCTGGCTCTGCCAATGTCCTGCTAGGAGTGTGAAAATTACTTAGCTCCCCTGAATCTGTTTCCTCATCTGTAACGTGAATGTATAGTGATACCCACTCCACAGCCTGCTATGAAGAGTAAGGGGACAATGCAGAACGCCTGCGCGGAGCAAAAGCTCCGTAAACGGAAGCTATGAGCATAGTGACAGATCCGCCAGGAACAGATGGCTTTCCAAAGCAGAAGTGAAAGAAAACAAATTTCGGAGACAGAAATGGCTATGGCTCTCTCCACTCCCCAGTGGGTAGAGAAAGGCTAGGACATTGTAACATAAATTCAGGATAGTAGGGTTACCTCTGAGGAGGCGGAGGAAAGGGAATGCAATCAGAGGAGCAGACAAGTGCTAGCAATGCTCTGTCTTTTAAGTTGACCGGTAGGTACATAGGCGTTCATTTAATTATTATTCTTTAAGCTGTAAATATGTTATACATACTATTATGTATTAATATTCCCAATTAAACATAAAATTCTTAAAAGAAATCAAGAGAGATCAGCACTATTAAACTGTTCAGTAATTGTTTCCCATGTATCTCCTAAATCTTGTTTTACAGGCTGCTGAGCTCACACTGTCCTAGCTGGGGCGGAGGACAGGGCTGGGAGGCTGAAAAGGATACAGTGTTTCCAGTGAGTAAAGGCCCTCCGCAGCACCATCCTCCTGGCCAGCACCTCCACGCGCGCACAGTGAGCGTGCAAGCTCTCCCTCTGCTGCCAGGCCCACTGCCAACTGCAGAAGTGCGTCTGAAGCATGGTGACTTGGTGGAATCGCTCAGCAAGCTCTGCAACAGAGAAAACAACTTAAGTGCTGACACCCCTCACTCAGCAATGAACTGGAAGCATCACTAAGACAAGCTGAACTCCACTACTGGCAGACAGCAGGGATTCAAGGCTGCTTTCACAAAGAATCCCAGAATAAATGTTTTCTAAACGTGGGAAGATTATTAGGAATCCCTTAGCTACACCTCTTCTTTCCAAGGAAAGAGAAAATGTCTGTGATTTTAGGGAAGAGGATGCTCTAAAATCAAAGAGCTGACGCTCATAGTTACTGCTGATGAGTAAGAATGGCAACAGCTGTTTTCAAAGATTGCATTTTATTTTCTCCTCTTTACTAAGGTCCCCCAGATAGGACTTTAGGGACTGAGTCAATGACACACAGTTCCGACAAAACGCTGGCAAAGCCTTTTGTGAGCTTTCCGTCAGGCTGATGCAGGCTGCCAGCTTCATCTCCTTTTAATGCTAATTAGCTAATGGCTTGATGAGCTAAAGTCCGGGAAATGAAAGGGAGTCAGTTCTGAAATTCAAACGCTGTGACTGGAGGAACCGTTGGTCTGCAGCTCATCATTCGTAACAGCTTAATGCCTTCCCGCTTGGACCCGGGCAACCAGGCAGCGGTCTCCTGTCACTGGTCTCTTATGGACACACTCGAGCTCCCCCAAGAGACGGCTCTGGCAGTCTAGAGAATTCTGCAGAGAGGGCTCAGTAAAAGCTGGAGAGCCCTATCCAGCGTCTAGCATAGAGCTTGAGTCACTTTCACGTAGGCTAAAGAAACAAAAGTACAAAAAGTACTGATGATCACGACTTACATATTATTACCTCCGAATTCTCACTGGAAAATAAAGCATTTGAACAGTGTTTAAAAAACTCAACATCATAAATCACACACATTCACATAACTGGGGACAAACAGAAACAATCCAAATATCAACAGAAGAATGGCTAAGTAGATTAAGGTGAGCCATCCTTACCTTAAAAAAATAACATTAATGAAGAATAAAGACATAGGAAGTGTTGGTCACTTGTATGGAAAAAAGCAATATACAACATATTAATCACAGTAACACAGTAGTTATAGCATAATTAAAACAGCACTGAATAAAGTGTATGGATAGAAGAAAAGGCCGGAAGAAAATAAATGTGAATTGACAATGATGTATTTTCCTCCTCAATATGTTCCAAAACATGTGGCGTAACATCATTATATCTCTCCTTAATAAAGGAGCACCACTGGCAGGACAGACCCAACCCTCTGCCTCCTGAGCCCAGGACCTTGCTCACCTTTCTGCTGTCTCTTTACCCTCCGGACCTGCAGGAATTCAAGCCAGGCCCTCAGGGATCTCCACTTTTGCCAGAGCTGATGGTGTTTCACTGCAGAGAGCACCTTGCCTCTCTCCCTCTGGACATGCAGGAGCTGTTCCTGCCACCGTACCCAAGCCTGAAAAACACAGAAAAGACAACAATCAAAAGAGAGGCAGAAAAGCAGAGGTGAAATACAGGTGAGGGAAATAGAAACACACACACACACACACACACACACACACACACACACGAAAGGCGAAAATTAGACACAAAGAAGTGGCATCGTAAGCTGTGGGAATTTGAGGTGAAAGGATATTTAAGAAAGGTATCCTCAAAAAGTTATGGTACATATACACAATGGAATACTACGCAGCAGAAAGAAAAAAAGAACTACTAAACTTCGCAACAGCATGGATGGAACTGGAGAGCATTATGCTAAGCGAAATAAGCCAGGGGGCGAAAGATAAATACCATATGATCTCACCTATAAGTGGAACCAAACCAACAATACAAAGATGCAAGGAAAATAAGACCAGCAACACTGAAAGGAAAAGAAATCAACAGAGACAAGAAGGAAGGAGGGAGGAGAGGCAGGGAAAAGGAAGGGAAGGGGAAAGTCAAGGAACATATAGCAAGGACTCATGGACAAAACCAAAAGGGAAGAGCTGAGGGAAGGAAGGAGGAAGGGGGCAAGGGAAAGTGGAGGGGGGTAGGCAGAGATAAATGTATTTGAAAAAATAAATTAAAATTAAAAAAAAAGAAATAAAAGAGCAAAAGGAGTAAGGGTGGCGGGATAGAAATGTAGATACATATAGAGATGGAGAGAGAGAGTTCAAGACTATGTTAAAGAAAAAAAATAAAGCAGTAAGTTCTAATGAAAAAAAAAAAGAAGGGTATCCTGCTTCCAGAAAGTAGGTTTTCTTCCTGGATTAAGAACAAAAATAAAAAGGAATAGTAAAATCAATGAGCAGCGCTGGCCAGGTAGCTCAGTTGGTTCTAACTCCCCAAGGTTGCAAGTTTGGTCCCTGGTCAGGGCACATGCCAGAGGACCAGTGAGTAAACAGATAGGTGGAAAAACTTATCAACAAATCAATGTTTCAAGCCCTAGCTGGTGTGGCTCAGTGGACTGAGTGCCAGCCTGTGAACCAAAAGGTTGCTGGTTTGATTCCCAGTGTAGAGCACATGCCTGGGTTGCAGGCCATGTCCCCAGTAGGGGGCATGTGACATGCCATCACACATTGATATTTCTCTCCTCTTTCTCCCTACCTTCCCATCTCTAAAAATAAATAAAATATTTTTTAAAAAGTTAAAAAATTGACGTTTCTCTAAAATCAATAAATAAATTTTTAAAATTAAAAAAAAAATGAGCAGACAAGAAGCAGGGACAATCCAAGGAGTGATATAATTAATTCAGATTTGGCATAGGTGAGAGCCTGCCTTTTTTTCCAAACTGAGAGGAAGTCTATGGTCAAGAAGCCCTTTCTCAGACACATTAGTTTCCTGGAAGTGTTTCTACACAAGATGAAGTCTACAAAATGATTCCCTTAAGACTGTCCATAAGTGTGCACACTTAGGACAATCTGCATGTGTGCTCAGAGATGCGCAAACCCTAGTTTGAAGATGACTGTCTCAGGTAACAATCTCATACCTTCTTAAACCTGTAACACCTCTTCGCCCTTCTTTCCTCTCAGCTGAATACCATTCTTCCTATTTCACCAAGAAAATAAAAGCAATCAAAAAAGAATTTTCTCAAGCTCCCCCCAACTCTATCCACCCACCTGCCCACAGGCTCTGCCTTCTCTCCTGTTACCTTAGATAAACTGTCCGTGCTCCCATCAAAGGTCATCCCTCCCACGAGGGATATATCCCCACTTCGCTCACCTTCTCAAGTTTATCGCTCTGGCAATTGCCCTACTTCCACATTATCTATTTCCACTCTCTACTAGATTCTTTAAATCAGCATATGAATGTGCTGTTATTTCTCTCATCCATAGCGCGCGCGTGCGCGCATGCACACACATGCATATCCATCCATCTCTTCTGGAATCTGACAACCAAAAGCAATGGGTAACCTTTCATTGGACCTGGTCTTGACACTAAGATAGCAATAATATATAGTTTGCATATAAACTGTATTTTAGATGTTATCTTATCAATATTAAATTTCTTGGATATAATGATATTGTGGTTATATAGGAAAACATCCTTATTTTTCAGAGATATAAGCTAAAGTATTTAGTTAAATGTTATGCCTGCAACTTTAAAGTCATTCAGAAAATATATTGATAGAGAAAGCAAATGTGGCAAGATGGTTAAACTAGTTAACAGTATACAGTATCCATATTTTCTGTGACTTGGTACTTGTCAAAAATAAGAAGTGGTGGTGGGGGAAGTGCACTGTCACAAAAATACTTCTTAAAAAGAATAAATCAGTAATCCTCAAACCAACCAACACACGCCACTCTCTATGCCACACTTTGCCACCCGGCGAACACTTGACTTCTTTCCCTTCCTTTCCAAATGCCTCCAAAAAAGGTGTCTGTTTCTAATTTCTCTTCTCCCAGGCAGGTTTCCTTGACCCCTCTCCCCACCAGACTCAAGGGAACTGCTCTTATCAAGCACATCAATGATCTCTAAATTTCTCAATCCAAAGGTCAAATATCGGCCCTCACCATCCCCGAATGGCTAGAAGCATCTGACACAGCCAGCATCACACCTCCCTCCCCCGCCTCCCGGGACACCGCGGGCCTCTCTGTTCCAGCAGCTGATCCCCATCTCACAGGCCCAGCCCTGGGACCTCTCTGCTCCCTACTCACCCCCTCTGCGCTTTCTCCCAGTCTCCCCCAGCTTTAATGACCATCGGCGTGCGCAGGACTCCCAAATGCAATCCCAGGTCTGGACCTGTCCTCAATACTCCACACATACGTCCAACTGCTTTCTTAACATCTTGTGGATATTCAAAAAGCCTCCAGGCTGAAGACATGCAGCTAAAAATGTAACTCTTCCTGATGCTTCCTCACAAGCCTGCTTCTCCCTCAACCTGCCCCATTTCAGTGAATGGCAGCTCCACTGCTCAGTTTCTTAAGTCAAAAACCTGGGAGTCATCTTCGGCTCTCTCTCTGAAGCTTCACATCTTATCTATCCGTTAGCAAATCCTGATGGCAATACCTTCAAAACGTATCCAGAATGCAACACCAGCTTGCTGTCATTCTTGGGCAGAATATCACCAGGAATTTGATAATAGCTTTTTCACTGTTGTCCCTGCTTTTATCCATGACCTTCTATGGTCTATTTTTATTTTTTTTCAAAAATATACAAAATTATTTCTTTTAATATATTCTATTGATTGTTATTACAGTTGTCTCGCTTTCCCCCCTTTGCCCTCCTCCGTCCAGTACCCTCGTTCCCTCCTGCAATCCCTCCCCCTAGTTCATGTCCATGGGTAGTGCATATAATTTCTTTGGCTTCTCCATTTCCTATGCTGTTCTTCATACCCCTATTTTGTACCTACCAGTTATGATTCCTGATTCCTGCACCCTTTCTCGCGGTCTCCCCCTGCCTCCCTGCTGATAACCCTCCAGATGATCTCCATACCTATGATCCTGTTCCTGTGCTGGTTGTTTGCTTTGGTTTTTGTTTTGTTTTGTTTTAAGACTGAGTTCTTGACAGTTGTGAATTTGTTGCCTTTTTAACGTTCATAGTTTTGATCTTCTTTTCTTAAATAAGTCCCTTTAACATTTCATGTAATAATGGATTGGTGATGAGGTACTCCTTTAGCTTTACCTTGTCTGGGAAGCACTTTGTCTGCCCTTCTATTCTAAATGATAGCTTTGCTGGATAGAGTATTCTTGGTTGTGGCTCCTTGCTTTTCATCATTTTGAATACTTCTTACCAGTCCCTTCTTGCCTGCAAAGTTTCTTTGGAGAAATCAGCTGATAGTCTATGGGTACTCCTTTATAGGTGACTATCTGCTCTTCTTTTGCTAGTTTTAAGATTTTCTTTTTATCTTTTACCTTTGCCATTTTAATTATGATATGTCTTGTTGTGGTCCTCTTTGGGTCCAACTTGTTTGGGAATCTCTGTGCCTCCTGGACTTACATGTCTATTTCCTTCGCCAAATTAGGGAAGTTTTCTTTCATTTTTTTTCAAATAAGTTTTCAATGTCTTGCTCTTCCTCTTCTCTCGGCATCCCTATGATTCAGATGTTGGCATTTTTTGTCATGTCCCAGAGTCTTCTTGTTCTCTCCTCGCTTTTTTAAAATTCTTGTTTTTTCTTTCTGTCCTGGTTGAATGTTTATTTCTTCCTTATGTTCCAAATTGCTGATTTGAATCCCAGTTTCCTTCCATTCACTATTGGTTCTCTGTATATTTTTCTTTTATTTCATTCAGTGCAACCTTCATTTTTTCATGTTGCCATACTCAATGAGTTCTTTGAGTATCCTGATCACCAGTGTTTTGAACCCTGCATCTTTCTGTGTATTAGGTAGAGCTGCTTTGACTCCCTGTAAAAGGCACCTGTAAATTGTGTGGGGCAGAGCCCCTTCTGTAATCACCAGGGTGGGGCCACCCACTTCACTGCTTTGCAGCTCTGTGTGGAAGGAGGGCTCAGAGAGGGTACTGTGCAGCTGCCTGGATTCTGGGGGTTTGCCTGGCACTCGCCCCATTTCCAGTCACTTCACCCACTCCCTGTATGTGACTGGCACCCTTCCCGTTGTTTCCCTGGTATTGAATCCCAGATTGGTGGGTTTGTGGACGTTTTAAGACTGTGTGGACCCTTTAAGCAAAGTTTCCTGTCAATTTGGCAGTTTCTTCCACCACCCTAACCCCCACTAGTTTTTACAGCCAGAAGTTAGGGGGATTTATCTTCCCAGCACTGGAACCCAGGGCTGTGCAGTCTGGCCCGGGGCTGGGAGAGCTCGCTCCCAAGGTGTCCCTCCTGATTGTTATCCGCCACCCGTGAACGTAGGACCGTCCGTCCCCACTCCACCACCACCACGTCCTCTCGATGCCACAGCACGTCTCCCCGCCTCTCCACATCTCCAGCCCTCCCACCCCTCTGCATGAATGCGGCTTCTGTAAATCCTTGGGCGCTGGACTTCCACACAGTTTGATTTTCTCTCAGTTCTGGGTGTTATTTGTATTGAGATTTAGTTGTAATTCCTTTTTGTGGTTGCACAAGGAGGCAAAGCATGTCTACCTACACCTCCATCTTGACCGGAAATCCATGGACTATTTTTAATACAACAGCCAGAGTGGTCCTTTTTCATTTGTTTTAGTTGCTGTATCACTTAAATCTCTTTGTTTTATATGACAATTTCTTTCCCTGCCTTTTTTCTCTTTTATACCACCGATTTCTTGGAGAAACCAGGCCATTTATCCTAAAAAATGTTCTGCATTTTCGATTTGGCTGTCTCCTCAAGGTGCCTTAAACTCATTCCTCTGACCCCTGAATTTCCTATGAACTGATCATTGGAGTTATGTTCGAATTTTTTTGACAAGAATAATTCTCGAGCGGTGGCAGGTATTTCCCATTACACTGCATCACGAGGCACATCATGACTGGCTGCCCTAGTTCTATCAGTGCCAAGACTGTTCCGTGGCTTCAGATGGCACCGCTCCAATCCCTCCATTATATTTCCCAGTCTTCTTTTCCATTGGTGATTGCTGTCTAGATCCATTTTCTCATTAGGAGTGGCAAATGGTGATTTTCTAACTCCAGTGCTCCTGTATTTATTAACTGGAATTCTATAAAGAAGGCTATTCTCTCATTAACCTTCTGGTTTGTCAAAGATTAGTCTGTACAGGAAAGGCAGGAGAAATGCTTCATTTTTACCTTTATTAATTTTCAGAGAATCGACCTAATGCTCTAATAGCTTAAATTGTGAACAATGAGTTCCTTTTTACTTCTCATTATGAATGTATGAATTTTGATGTTTGATGTGTTTTTTAATCCATTACAGTCATTATTCTTTTTAATGCTCAAATTGTTCTAGCTTAAGCCTATGGGAGTCCTGACACAACCCTATTAACCTTTGTTAATTTCCTTACTTTCCACCCACTATACCCTAGGCTAGTGATTTTCAACCTATGTGCTGCAAGAATTTTTAAAACATGTAATACCTGACTATTTAGCCAGGGGCACTGACCTCTTTTCCCTTAGAGTGTCCAATATAAAAAGATAATAGCCAATACAATGATAGCCATCCAGTGTGAATGCCCTGTCTTAAGCCATAAATATATAGGTCATATAATAGAGCTTCATCTTATTGGTCACATCACATAATAAGGTAGCATCTGATTGGTTAATTCTTGGTACCAGAAATCCTTATTTACAAGTATTGGCACCTGATTTTTTTAACAAGTCACTCTGAAGCAAAAAGAGTAGGTAATTACTATTATAATACTTTTTGTAACTCGATCAAATATTTTTGTCAGATTGGCAAAAAATATATTTTTTTGGTGTGCCACAGAATATTAGTAATTAGTTTGTGTGACATGAGATGGAAAACGTTGAAAATCTGTCTCCTAGTCTCATGATGTGTATTTCTAGCTGTAAACCTAGAATCAGCCATTTCTCCAAAAACACAACACACACACACACACACACACACACACACACACACACACACCCACAGTTACTTTGAGTGGAAAATAGCAGAGACCACAAGTCGGGCTCTGCAGAAGCCAGATGCTGTGTTGATGCCACTCCTTCTAAGTCTTTTCAGTAAATAGAGTCAGAAGATTTTTAGGTTAAAAAAAGTCTTGAGTTCATACTGATATTTATATTTCCAGATTCAGATTATAGGGCTTTTATTTAATTTCTTTGATTTTTATACCTGTAATATTTTCTTTTATCCTGAAAATTATGATCCTAATGATACTGCCATAGTTATTTGCTTTATCCTATAATGTAGCTATAATTGTTTCAACATAATTCCAAACCTATTACTAACATAAGACTGAATACCGTTTTATATTTCTTAGCAGTTCTCTGTGTCCTTTAACTATATCCTATTAGAGACAAAGTGTCAAAAGATTGTATTTTAAGGTTACTTGAAGTAAATATTTTCTCTGTGTAGTCATTGCTACAAACTTGATGTTTGTTTCAGAGTGTTTTAAAATCCTAGGGGTTTTTTTTTTTCCTTTTTTGTTTACTTTTGGTTTTTTAATTATATGAAATATCTACATAGTTCCAAAGTAAAAATATGTAACAAAGTAAATTCACAAGAGTACTTTGTTCCAACATTGTCTCCCCCCCCCCATAGGTAACCACTTTTTTGTTAGCTTTTGGTTTATTTTTCCATTATTTTTCCTGAAAATATAAGCAACCACACACTCTAATATCTCTCCCTTCCTTTCTTACTCAAAAGGCAGCACAAAATGAACCAAAGGGATCCTTTAAAAGGTAAGTGTGATCACATCATTCTCCCGTGAAAACCAATAGCTTCCCACCTCCCCTGGAATAAGAGCCCAAGCCTCGGAAGGGCACAGCCTACAAAGCCCTACCATCTGCCCCCTTGTCATCTCATGACCTAACTCCTACTCTCCCTCTCAGTTGGGTTCCTGGGCCCAACTCCAACAGGGTGTCCAAGAATTCAAATCAAATCTGGCACTATCTACCCAACGATGGGACCAGATCCCATAGGTTGAGTCCAGCCCCACAAGATTGCATTTTCCCCCACCCTTATCCCGCCCCAGCCCCCACACACGTTCATGCCAGCCCCGAGCCCAGGCTCTCACCTGCGCTTCTACTGCCTGGCCACATATTGGAGGTTCCAAAGATCCCCCTCCAGCTCAGAGTGTCAACTGCGAGCCCTGGTTGTTACATGTACTGACTGGCTACCAGTCAGGAGTCCCCACAATCCCCCTCCCCTTCAATTCAATTGATTTGCTAGAATAACTCACAGAACTCAGAGAAACATGTTAGTTAATAGAGCACTGGTTTATTATAAAAGGCTGTAACTCAGGAACAGCCCGATGGAAGAGATGCATAAGGCAAGGTGTGCGGGAAAGGGGCGTGGAGCTCCCACGCCTCTTCAGACATGCCACTCTCCCAACATCTCCACGTGTTCACCAGCCTGGAAGCTCTTCAAACCTCACCCTTTTGGGGTTTTACAGAGGCTTCATTACATAGTCATGACTGATGAAATCATTCAACCTCCTGCACCTCTCCCTTCCCCAGACGTCAGGGGTCCGGGGAGACTGAAAGTTCCAACCCTCTAATAACGTGGTTGGTTCCATGGGCAGCCAGCCCCCATCCTTAGGTTCTTTCCAAGAGCCACCTCATTAGCTCTAACTGCCTGTAAGACAAACAGTATGGAAATAAAAAATATACTGCTCTTTCTTTAACATATTTATAACTAATTCATAAATCCCTTTCCATAATTAGCAGACATGCTCTAAAAACCACTGGTAATCATGTCTAGCACATTTCTAATAGCAACCTCTGTCTGTTGAAGAGCTCGCCCCTCCCCATTACTTCTGGCCCCTACCTCCTCCTCAGTCGCCTGAGCTGCGGGGAGGCCCCAGCAGAGAGGCAGCAGCATGATAACTGGCCTCCTGCTTGGAAGTCCAACCCCACCCTTTGTGGGTGTGGGGCTTGACAAATGGACGAAGCGCCAATACTGGAGTCTGCTGGACTCACCTGCAGCTGGAGGCTCAGGGCCCTGTGCTTCACAGCTGAGGCACAGAGAGCATGTCCCACACGGACCTCTTCCAGTCGCCGCCTCCACTTGCTCCAACACACCCTGTCACAGAGCAAATTGAAGATGAAACCAGTCCAAAAAAATGTCACACAGAAAAGAGAAGGGTAGTGAGGACCGGGCCTCAGGCTCTCAGTTCAAGTCCTTCTCCCTCATGGTGCCATCGCTAGATGAATGTATGTGAGAGCCACCACCTAAAAACTCAGTCAAGAAACAGTCCTAAAGCTGCCAATTAAAGGTTGGAAACTGATGGTACCTTAGGTCAGATCCAGCCATAGACACTACAGACATGCTCTGTATGGCCTATACAAATTTTTAAAAATATATAATAAATTATTGCCAACATTCAAAAAATCAGGAGAGTTCACAGAACAGCCTTCAGAAAAGAGGAGCTTTTAGATTTCCAGTCCTGAGGGATCCCTTCCTTTCCCACTGTCCTGGCCAGGTTTCATCCTGTCTTGAGTCTTTTTGCTTATTTTCTAATTTGAGGTAGGAAAATGGTCCTGAAGACATGAAAGTTGGAAGCCTCTATGTTACGGAAACACTCAGTTGGCCTGATCACTCTAACGCACCAAAATCTCTTTTCTCCTGACCTAGGCCATGCTAGCTGCATTACTCACTTCAAAATCTCAAGCTGTCTTGCATTATTAGTTATCTTTTTAAGTACTTAAGGAACTAGAAGTTCCCTGAATGCAGACCCAGCGCCCAACATTGTACCAGGAACATTTTAAGCCCTTAGTAAATACACGTTGAATAAATAAAATTATGTAAAACATCCCCAATAGAAAATTGTATATTTCTTCAGAATTTTAAAATATGTGCTAAATAAATTTTAAATAATTTCAAAATTTTTAAAATTTTAAATAACTTCTTCATATCCACTGATGTTCTGAATACTATGCTGAATACTTTACAGGTATTATCTTATTATTTCCCATGACAACCCTGAAAGATTTTTATTAGTGTGCCTATTTCACAGACGAAAAGTGAGACCTGCAATGGCGAAATGACCCAATATTACATGTTTGAACAGGGATTTGAACCCAATTCAATCTGGGTGCAAAGCCTCTGCTCTTATCCTTACAAGGCCCAGCTCTTTCAGTCGGGAACTAAGCTTTTATTATGTTGTCATTCGGGACACCAGAGGGCCACTAGAAACACAGTACAGTGGAATCAGCCCCACTCTAAAGTAGCTCATCATTACACACATCTGGCTTCCAAAGTAGACTAACTCATTTCCCTCCAACACGTGAACAATGCTGATGAGATGCAGTGCGAGGAAGCAGTTAGAAGCATGGTCTTTGGCATCGGAAAAATTGTGTCAGTGAGCTCTGCCTTTGCCAACTACAACTTATGAGGCCTATCCTGAAAAAGTCCAGCCATGGAATAAGAAAAATAGAGACATTTATTGAAGAAAATACAAGATACAAGAAACATTGTACATAGGACAATGACGCCTCAGTTCCCTTCAAAGTAGGCACTTTGGGACCTCACACAGTTCTCCAATAACCATCAGCTGCCCCATAGTATTTTCCTGAATCTTATCGATGATCTGAAATCACTTCCCTTTCAAAGGTGATTTTAGTTTTGGGGAGTCAGAAGTCACAGGGCACCAAATCTGGGGTGTAGGGGGGCTGAGTCACCTGGGTGATTTGCTATTTCGCCAAAAAAACTCTGCATGAGTGGGTGCATTGTCGTGATGAAGCTGCCAATCACCAGTTGCCCACAGCTGCAGCCTTCTTAATAATCTGAATAGTTTCCATGGAGGAATGTTCAAGCTTAACACAAAATCTAACGCAGATTCCTTGCTCTACTCATTTTGATTGCGACGGCCACACAGTACATATGCTCACTCAACAGCATCTACCGTCCCCACTGACCAGTACAGTGAAGTCATCATTGTTCAAGCACGCACATTCCAGTCCACTCGCATTGGCTGCCAGGTTACATCAATGTTGCAATACGTTCTCATTATATTAATAGTGGTTGGGCTTTTTCAGGACAGACCTTGTATATCTTAAACTGAACAATAAAAATACTTTACAGTTTATGGTAAGGATTAAATGAGATGCTTTAAATGAAAAAAATGAATATACCCACACACTTAACACAGGGTTTAAAACATAGTACTCAGTGTTACTTATGATTATGCAAAAACCTGGTATTATAGTTGAACAAGTTGTCAATAAGTATTTATTAAGTATCAATTATGTTCAAAACTGTTTTAAGGGGGGGTTTTGTGCTGCTTCCCAGCAGCATAAAGAAAGGCTAAAACAAAATAATAGTTGCTGAACTATAAGGTGTCTGAGTGCACTCACCACAAAATAGTCCGCTGCCTAAACTCCAAGGCGGTGGTCTGCATCTGACGTTTGGTCCTTCGAAAAACAACGTAGACCAACCAGGACTTCCAGGCCTGTCGCATCTTCTGCTTTGCATCTAGATGCACCAAAAAGATTTTCAAAAAGGGGTAGGAGGACACTGATTACTCTGGGTTACGATAAGAGCTCAAGGAGCTCTCTGTACCTATCCCTCCTTTGAATAATTACATTCCTCCAGCCTTCCAGTGCCCCCTGCTGGAAAAGTTGTGAACTCTACAAAATTACCAAAGACACAACTGCATGCGAAGAAAGGCTCTATCAGTGATAACATTTATAAAACATTTAAAGGAAAATCAATGTACTGTACTGTTCAGAAATACTTCATTTTAAAACCCTTATTTTTTTAGAGATATATGATACAACATTTACAGATGAAATGATGTGAATACCACAGGAAGCAGAGAAGTGAGACTGGTATGAGTTGATGATTGTTGAAGTTGGTTAGAAGGTTCATTAGTCCATCTTTCAATTTTGTAGAGATTTAAATGTTTCCATAATATGAAATTTACAAAATAAGAAATTGTGGTCTAAAACTTGTTGTTTGAAACAATAATTACAAAGCAAGACAAAAGAAAAAAATACTTCCTGTATCTGTTTGGGAATGAGAATAAAGAAGACCAGTAATGATCCTGGAGAAAGGAGAATTTACTAGATATGGAGCTGCAAAAATCAACAGGTTGCCCTTTGTGGTAAATTCCATTTTCATTGTGAAAGTCATCACTAATGAAGTAAATTTCTTTTCTTTTTAGTATACAAAGGATAAAATAAAATTATACAAACCACTTTCAGAACATTCTCCAAAATGTGGTCAGTAGGACTGGAGTTACACTTTATATTTCATAGTTGTTGACAAGTGGACACAAAATATGAAGAAAAATTTCACATGTGGCTTCCTCAAGCTCACTCCAGATCTCAGGAATCAGCACGCCCCAGGCAACAAGGACTCAGTGGTGCTATAGTTTTGAGTTTGGGCTCCCAAGTAAGACAAGCCAAGTTTGAATAATGACCTTGTCATTTATTAGCTAAGTAACCTTGCACAAGTTCCTTATCTATAAAATGCTGCCGCCCTTAGGGGTTATGTTTGTAAAGAGTACATTAGATTATCTATGAAAGGTGTCTCCAGTAAGTGCAAGCTGTTATTTTCTGAGCACAGAACCCAGGAATCCGCATTGTCTCTACCAAGATTCTGATGACAACTTGAGAACCATTCTACTCTAAGGCCTGACTGTACTTTCAGACTTCTTATTTAACAGTGCAGGAGTAAATGGGTACTCCCTGAGGTTTGTGGATACAGCCTAAAACGTCATATGTCAGAAATAACTCATTTTATCTTAAAAACCCAAGTGACTTTTCTTTAAAGTCTGTAATATGGCTGTATTTATTATAACTATAATAACAGTGGAAAACAGCAGAATGCACACTCCTTAAATAAATATGAAACATTCACAAAACAGTATTACCTGGCCCACAAAATGAACCTTAACAAAATTAACTGAAATCATACTAAGTCTCGTTCTCCGATCAGAACGAAATAAACTAGAAAATCAATACTAGAAAGACATAGGAAAATTCCACATATTAGGACTAAACACACTTCTAAAAAATCTTTGGGTCAAAAAGGAAGCCTTAAAGGAAATTAGAAAACATTTTACTGCATAAAAACAGAATTGCAAAATATTAAAATCTGTGGAATGCAATTAAAGCAGTGCTTAAAAGAACTTTATAGCTGTAAATGCTTATCTCAGAAAAAAGGGAAAATCTCAAATTAATAATCTCAGCTTGCACCTTAAGAAACTAGAAAAAGCAGCAAATTAAAACCAAACTTTGCAGAAGTGAGATAATAAAGATAGAAGCAGAAATGAAGGAACTTGAAAACAGAAAAAGAATAAAAAAATCAATAAATAGAAAATTGGGTTATATGAAAAGACTGATAAAACTGATAGAGCCCTCGCCACTCTGACCAAAAACAAAAGGCTGAAAACATGTATTGCCAATATCAAGAATGAAAGAGGGGCTATTGCTACACACCCTGCAGACATTAAAATTATAATAATGAAATACTTCAAATAACTCTATGCCTATAACTATGGCAACATACAGGGTAGGGCAAAAGTAGGTTTACAGTTGTTCATATGGAAAATAGCACAATAACTGATAAAAAAAGACTACAAGAATAAACTCTGTGTTTCACATACTCACAACTGTAAACCTAATTTTGCCCCACCCTATATTTGAAATGGACCGATTTCTTTAAAAGACACAAACTATCAAATCTCATTCAAGAAGGAACCAATCACGTAAGGAGTCTTATATCTAATTAAAAACTTGAATTCAAAGTTTAAAACTCTTCCAACAAAGAAAACTGCAGTCCCTGATGATTTCACTGGAGAATTTTATCAAATATTTATGGAAGAAATAATACCAATTTTACAAATCTCTTTCAGAAAAATACAAGAGGATAAAATATTTCCCAACTCCTTCTGTGAGGGTATTAATTTGAGCCAGAAACAGAGAAAGACATTAAGCAAAAGAAAACTATAAACCAATATTCCCTCATAAGCGTAGATGCAAATATCATCAACAAAACATTAGCAAATCGAGCTCTGGCTGGTGTGGTTCAGTTGGTTGGGCATCATCCCAGAAACTGATAGGTCGTCAGTTCAATTCCCGACCAGGGCACGTGCCTAGACTGTGGGTTGGATCCCTGGTCGGGACATGTACAGAAGGCCGCCAATCGATATTTCTCTCTCACATCAATGTTTCTCTCCCTATCTTTCTCCCTCCCTTCTCCCATCTCTAAAATCAATAAGCATGTCCTTGGGTGAAGGTAAAAAAAAAAAAATTAGCAAATTGGACCCAGCAATACATAAAGAGCGGTGCTAATTTGAGGAATGTACGGCTGCTTCAAAATTCAAAAGTCACTCTATATAATTCAACATATTAACAAACTTTTAAAAAAGGCTATATAATCATCTCAAAAATAGAGAAAAATGGTTTGACAAAATTCAATATTTATTAATGATAAAAATGCTCAGAAAAGTAGGCATAGAAGAGAACTTCCTTAACCCGATAAAGGACATCTACAAATAACCTACAGCTAACATCACACTTAATGGTTAAAGACCAAAAGCTTTCCCCTGAGATGAGGAATGAGACAAGGATGTCCACTCTCATAACTCTTATTCAATGTCATACTGGAATCCCTACACAGTGCAACAAAAATATTTTGGGAAGGAATGAATAAAGCTGTCTCTGTTTACTGATGACTGCAGAGAAACTCCCATGCAATCTACATAAAAGCTCCTAGAACTAATAAGTAAATTTAGCAAGGTTTCAGGATATAAGAGATCCATAAGTGAAACCACAGAACTTTTAGGAGAGAATCTTTGTGACTTCAGGTTAGGTAGAGTTCTTACATAAGCTATCAGAAACATAATCCATAAAACAAAAATTGATAAATTGGACTTCATCAAATTAAACACTTTTGCTCTACAAAAGACAGTAATAAGAGAATGAAAAGACAACCACCAACTGGGAGAAAATACTTACAAATGGGAGAAGTTACGTATGTGAAGGGGCAGAAGGTATATGGGTAATCACCATACCTTCTCCTCAGTTTTGCTGTGAATCTAAAATTGCACCTAAAAACTAGAGTCTTAGTAAAGGAAAAAAAAAAAAGTCAATCTGGGTGTTTTCTTTAGACACGCATTTTCATTTCTCACCATAATCTTCGGCTCTCATGTACTTGTTCTTCATGTCCTGCTGCTGATGCACAAAGGTCTTCCAGGTCTGGAACATCAGATTGTACAAGTAATATCTGAGAAGCCAAAAAAGCAAATGGCATTTCTTTAGAACAAAACAATTCCTAATTTTACCCAAAGTATATACCCAATCTATACTTAGGAGAAATTACCATGAACATTTCTGATACCAAAACAATCTACATCCTAAGCTAAAATTTCATTTCCTATAATCACGGTGAAACCCACTGTCCTTTACAGAGAGTTATCTCCGCACCTTATAGTGTTACTGAAGATGAATGGGCTTGACTTTCCTGAAAATAACTTCACCTTCAGCATCCACAAAGCCGTAATGTTTTGAATGATAGCTGTACCTTAATCAACTTAATATCTACAGTATGTAAAACATTAATCTCCTTTGCACTGAAACATGGTCAGTGACACTTTTTTTTTCTCTTTTCCTTCTCAATACATATTAGACACATTCAGACTATCAGTCCCTCCATATTTTCACTGCCCCATTTCCTAAGACTTAGTGTCATACTCTACCAGATTAGAATTATTTAATGTATCCAGTTTGTCTGAAATATATAAGTCAAAACCCCTACAACAAAGAACCTAAATAAAGAAGTGATTATATAATGAGAGTGAATACCATTTTAAACACACAATGCAAGATTTATTGGGTATATATTTTCTCCTATAATCACTATAAATTAAAACGTACGTTAACAGAATATTCTCACAATTAAAAATTAGATAGAAGTGAAAGTCATGCCCTGGCCGGTGTGGCTCAGTGGACTGAGCACTGGCTTGCGGACCAAAAGGTTGCTGGTTCGGTTCCCAGTCAGGACACATGTCTGAGTTGCAGACTGGGTCCCTGGTTGGGGGCCTGCGAGAGGCAGTCAATCAATGCTTCTCTCTCACATCAATGTTTCTGTCCCTCTCTTTCTCCCTCCTTTCCCCTCTCCCTAAAAATAAATAAATAAAATGCCAAAAAAAAAAAAAAAAAAAAAAGAAGTGAAGATCAAGGAGAAAACCCTATTCAAATCGCGAGCATGACCAATACATACATAATTGTTACTTGAATTAGAGGAGTGTTTCTATGTGTGTGCACTCACATGCACATGTGCTTGGGTTTAATGTAGGATTTTGATCTTATTACTCTAAAAGAATTTAAAGAAAAACAAAAAATGATTCAGAACTTTTCTTTGACCATAAGCATGCCAAGTAATTATTTGATAATGTGCATCAGTAAACTTGAAGTAACATAAATAACATCTGACCTGTAGTGACAGTCGGCTCGAACACAGAGTTTCCACTCCCGATGGCACACCCACCACTCTGCTTTCCATTCTTCAAAGACCTTCCGTAATATCCTTTGCTTATAGTGAAGCCTAGGGTAAAGGGGAAATCAGAGATACATGATGATATTGAAATTGATAGCTATTGGCCAATCAGTTTCATATTGCCATTGCTTCCTCATAGTAAAATGTGGTTCATTATTTGATAACACCAAAATAAATGTAAAGTAGACACACTCAACTTTCCTTAGATCAAAACCATAGAGCTACTTAAATTAGAAATGAGACCTAAAATTTTATAGTATACATCTTACCAATTAAAAATGTTAAAGGAAAATAAAAACCTGACTTTTCAAATACCGTAAGTGAATTGAGAATTATCCTCAATTTTTTTCATTCACCAGACTAAAAACTATTTTTGAATAGTGAAAAGTAGTAGCTCACTTCCCATTTACATACACAGGTGAGTAAAAGTTATAAAATAAGTCAATGCCGAATGGTATTTCTAGTACTTAACAGAATCTGGCCACAAAGTTATAACAACAGCAAAGGTAAGTATAGAGAAAATAAAGAGGGGAAAAATGTAATAAGAAAGAAAAGAGAAGAGCAGGGACATTGTGTTGATGCTAACAAGGTACTGTCAAGGGGATTCGTAACTCATGAACTCTAGTCCTGTCAATCACCTTGAATTCCTTTTCATGGTTCTGCCGCTAACTAACATGGACCTCCTCCTCACCCACTCACAGTTTCAAGAAACTGGGCTGCGAAGATATACACAGGGAAACTCACCTCACTATTAGTCATAATAATGAAAAGAAATACCACCAATGTCCATCAAAAGAGGGCAGGTTAAATTCAATCAATGCCGTGTAGTCATTTTTTTAATAAATGAAGTGAAACTAAGGACACTGATATGGAGAGATGTCAAGAAAAAAGTTGTTAGATGAACAAAATAGTTACTTCACAGTATATATATAATGTAGTACCATTTTTTTAAATTAATATTTTTGGCCCTGGCTTGTGTGGCTCAATAGACTGAGTGCTGGCCTACGAACCAAAGGGTCACCAGGTCGATTCCCAGCTGGGGCATATGCCTGGGCTGTGGGCCAGGTCCCCAGTGGGGGTGCGTGAGAGGCAACCACACACTGAAGTTTCTCCCCCTCTCTTTCTCCCTCCCTTCCCCATCTCTAAAAATAAATAAAATCTTTTAAAAAATAAAAATTAATATTTTTGTATTTTGGGTGCCCATATGTTTAAATTATTAATATAATATATACCAAATACCTATATATTTTAAAGTGCATGTGCACATATATGTATTTTATATATGCATACAAACATATAAGTGTATACATATATAAATGACTACATTGTTTATATATAGAGAGAGAGAGAGAGCGAGAGAGAGAGCGCGCGCGCGCACGCGCGCCTGGAAAGATCTCCAGAACAGCAAACTATTATCAGTGGTTCTCTCTCAGGATGTGACTATAAGACACTAGTATGTCCTACAGTATATATTTCTGAAGTTAAAAAAATTTTTTAGACCCTGGCTCAGTGGATTGAGCGTCAGCCTGCGAATCAAAGTGTTGCCAGTTCAGTTCCCAGTCAGAGCACATGCTTGGGTTGCATGAGAGGCAACTACACACTGATGTTTCTCTCCCTCCCTTCCCTTCTCTCTAAAAATAAATAAATAAATAAAATCTTTTTTAAAATGTTTAAAAAATTTTTAACGACTTTGTTCATAATTTTTAAATATTGTAATGGAAAAGAGCTACTTCCATTTGCACATGTACTTTCTTCTACAATCTATTATTTATCTACTTCCTCCCCTTCACAAACCCCACTAAAATAACAGCAAATACATTTCAAAAGGTGTAAGCCCACAAAAACAAAGAGAATAAGAGCAACAATGATAGGTAAGAAATATCAACAAATTTTGGACACTGGAAAGCAGGCAGGTAAGTGGCAACTGAATCAACAGATGAGAGAAAGCAGAGAAATAAGTATCCTGTGATGGGAAATCAAGAAGCAACCAGTTGGCAGCACAAACTGCAGAAGTGGGTAGGAGCAAGGGGCATCAGGAAGGGGGAGCCCTCGGTGCAGATGAAACACACAGGATTATTCGCAAGCCTATGTGTAAGGAAGAGTTATGCCCCTGCATCCTGTTATTCACCCAGGCAGAGACTCAGGTTTACCTCTGGAAAGGATAAAACAGAGGGGCACAGGATTCTAGAAGCCCAGGCAGAGCTGTGGGGAGGCACATAAACCAAGAGTCTAGATTCTGACCTGTGAGACCCACATTTCCTCTCCTCTGCTTGCAGCCAGGTTTAAACCACCACCGCCCACCTCCATCCCACACCAGAAAAAGATCAAAGGATTCCTCTCCTCTGGGAAAATGGATCAGCCAAAGGGAAAAGGCCTTTAGACACTCACATCAGGAGGTCCCCAAGTGAAACAGCCTGCTCTATGCTTCAAGTGTCCGAACAGAAAGCCCTGGCCAGGTAATGCAGTCGGTTAGAGCGCTGTCCCTGATATGCCAAGGTTGAAAAAAGTCTGAAGTGAAGCCCTCAATTTACAAGTCCCTATGCATCCATATGAAAGTTTCTAAAATTAGCGTTTTAGTGCCTAACAAAAATATGAATAGATAATAAAAGGGTCTCTTGACATTCAAGGGAAGGCTCCAACATGAGACAGTGCCCAGAAACAGACAGAAAAAGGGAGCTTCAAAGAAACAGTCGATATAAGCAGACAAAAATCTTAAAAACAAATAAATCACTGTTATCCTCAAAAAATTATAAGCCACCAGAATGCTATTTTTTTTTAAACAAACAGGAACACTTAGAGAACAAAAAAGAGCTCTTGAATATTAAAAATATAATGGCCGAAATGAAAAAAAGGTCCATAGACAGGTAAAACAAAAAGGTGACTGGCCCCAGCTGGGTAGCTCAGCTGGCTGGAGCGCTGTCCAGAAACGACAAGGCTGCATATCCCAGTCAGGGCACACACAGGAATCCGCCAATGAACACATAAACATGTGGAACAACAAATCGATGTTTCTCTCTCTCTCTTTCCCCCGCTCCCTCCCTCCCTTCTTCTCACTCTAAAATCAATAAATAAAAAAAAATTTTAGAAGATCACAAGTTGAAAACAACCACCCCATCACAAACTTCTAATCAATGGAAACACAGTATCAGAACACTAATTCTCATAGATGGCTAAGAGAACAAGTATTCTCACTCTCTCATTTTATAATTTGTGAAACTGAGGCCCAGAGCCATAACTTATTTCCAGTTCAAACAATTAGATGGGGTCTGGGTTACGACCAAAACTCAGGTCTCCTAAAGTCGAATCCTGTATTCTTTCACCTACACCCAGCCACCACTAAAGAGGAAAAGAAAAGTAAAGAGAGAGAGCAAAGCAGTGTAGCAAACACCAGTCAATGGCTAACCCAACACCCTCTGCGAAGCCTCTGCTTCCTCATGGACATCCATTACAGAGGCTGGAAAGAAAGGTTTCTTTCCTGGCCTCCCCTGCATCAAGGTGGCCAGTGGCATAGCTCTGGCCAACGAGGCCGAAGCAGAATGCAGCCGGGGGTTTCCAGGATCATTCTGTTCTCCTCAGTCACCTTGCAGTTCTGCAGTGTCACCTCTCAGGGCAAGGGTCAATATACTAAGGATGGTAAACTAGACAGGTACCAGAAGCCTGAGTCTTTGATGGCATCACTGAACAGCTGAACCAACAGTAACCTCCAGACTGCTTCTGAGAAAAAGCAAATCCCAATTTGTTTAAGCCAACATCAGGCCTTCTTAGAGTCAAATGCATTCCTAAGTAATACTATCACCATTTCCCAAATACTTGGACTATAAATAGGTATTGTTTGAAAAGAGATTTCCAGTTAAATATGGGTCAAATGTAAGTTAAATAAAATTAGGGAGGAAAAGGATTTGGGGAAGATGGTGAAGGTGGCAACATTTTTCAGTCTCTGAATCCCCATAACCCATGGATCAATCCCAACAAAAACAGGTGACAAGATAGTCTCATGAATACAAAATGCAAGCAGGTGAGGACAAACCACCCACAGTCAAAAGGCCTGTGCAGTATTAGCATTAATACAGGGAGGAAAAAAGGAGCAAAGGGGCGGCATGTGAGGGATGTAATAAAAGTTGTGTGAGCGTGGTCTCTCCCTCTCAGGAAACTTGTGCGAATTTCTTCTTCCTTCTTCACAAGTTCATGGATAGAAGAACTGTTCCTACCATACATCTTAGCAACCTCAGCATAGCTTTTTTCCCCTTTCCTTAGTAAGTCTAGAATTTTCACCTTCCCACTTTTAGCTTCTCTTTGCATATCCAAATTGCCAGCATCACTGGTCTTGCACTTTGGGGCCGTTATTAAGTAAAATAAGGGTAACTTGAACACTGGCACGGTGATACACAGCAGTTGATCTGACAACTGAGACACCACTAAGTGGTTAACAGGGCAGACAACACATATCACATGGATACTTTGGATAAAGACGCGATTCATTTCCTGGGTAGGACAGAGTGGGACAGTGTGAGCTTTCACCACAATTCTCAGAATGACATGCAATTTAAAACTTATAGATTGTTTATCTCTGGAATTTCCCATTTAATGTTTTTGGATTGCAGTTGACCACAAGTAACTGAAACCACAGATTAGGGAGACTACTGCATATTATATTCTTAGGGAAGTCCTTAGAAGAAAAATAAAAGAGTATATAACTTCTAAGCTAACAAAGGGAAAAATAAATAAAATACTCAAACTCAATTACAAAATAACAAAAACAAGCGACTTCTGATAATGGCAAACTAGGTAATTCAGATCCGTTCTCCAACTGAGAACAAGAAAAGCAAGACCAAAAAAAAAAAATTATTTCAGGGCATTAAAGAGCTACCGAGGCAGTGAAGAAGAACACGGCCAAGGTGCAGGAGAAGAAGGGAAAGCAGAGGTGAACTACACCTAACACCTGCAACTGAGGTGGACTATTGCCACAGTGGGAGCTTCACTGGACGCAAAGGAGATGGGAAGAGTAAGCTGCCCCCCGCCCCAACACAAGGTATACAAAGAAAAGGTTTCAGAGAATACACACAGGCCAAGTTTGCTTGAGAGACCTTGAATCAAGAGACCTTGGGAAATGTTCCAGATTAGGAAAGCCAGGCTCAGAAAAATAAAACAGGAAAGGCTGTAGGAAGGGGAGAGGGAATGGAGTGAGAACCTGTAACATTTGTTTTTAAAAACGCTTATATTCTCAATGGTTTCAAATTCTCCCTCTGAAACATAACCTACAACAGCCTCTTCTCTACACCCCCCTACTTACTGCACAGTATCCAGGAGCCCTGTGCCTCCTCGCTGCTGTCCATTCTGGGAGCTGCAGCTAAAATCCCAACCGAAACCCAAAGCAGCGAATGGTGGCTTATACAAAGTAAAGCTGTGGTAGCCCTGGCTGGTGTGGCTCAGTGGACTGAGCGTTGGCCTGTGAACCAAAGGGTCGCTGGTTGATTGCCAGTCAGGGCACATGCCTGGGTTGTGGGGCCAGGGACTGGCTTGTGCCCCACTGTGGGCATGTGAGAGGCAACCAGTAGATGTTTCTGTTCCTTTCTCCCTACTTCCTCTCTCTCTAAAAATAAACAAAAATTTTTTTTTAAGTGAAGCTGTGGCAGAACGACTTTCTCTTGACTAAAATTTCATTCCCATTGCCAGTGTGAACTTTTTCCCTAGATCAAGTGAATTTGTCCATCTTGCCAGTGCCCTTAAAGAGTTCATTTACTTCTGGGCAAATATTTTTTTCCAGAGAGTATTAGCTATCCTGGTTTACTTTATGATTCCTGCATACACTCATTCAAACTAATATGTGTTAAATTACCATTTTATCATACGCCTGCTGGAGGCTGTGGGAGGGGCATGGAAGGAATGTTACATGGGCCGTAATATATGGGCTTTAAAAAAAAAACAGAATGAACTCAGCAGACGTTTGGTGTTCTGAGCTAATACTACCTGGCTTTAGAAGGAAATACTCTTCCAAAAGTTTTTCGAATCCACAAATACAAAAACTTTCTGGTCACACATCTGAAAGAAGAAAAGAAAGGATATACACATTTTAAAACTCCACTTGGCTTATTTCATCAGTTTTCTGCATATGAGAAGGAAACTTTAAGGTCCCAGGAGGAGAGAGATGCTAGTATGAGTCAAAAGGTGAATCATAGCTAATCTTGCATCAAACAGAGCATAGAACGGGACAGGTTTATAAAGCGAAAATCAGACATTATTTTTCTTTTAAGTACGTCCAATATAACGTATTGTCAATGAAGACTTAAGAGTTGAGGAAGAGGAAATACATGATAAAGCTTTTGTTTGTATTCTTCTTCCTGCCTAAAATGCTTGGCAAACGTCCACTTCCCCATCACAGTTCATCTTCAGTGCTTGCTCCTGTGTGAAGCCTTCCTGGACCTTCCTCAACCCGAAGAGAGTGAATAGCTTTGTACTCTCAGCTCTCTGTTCCATTATGTAAACATTAGGACACCAAATCAGTTACCGGCTCGCAGAGTGCCTGTTGTTCCCTCTGCTCTGTGAGCCCCTGAGAGCAGGAACTGCGTCGTACTGTATCCTCAGAACCCAGCAGAGTCCTGGTACACACACAGAATGGAGACTTGCCTTGGCCAGGTAATCTCCAGATTTGTTTGGAATGCTCTTCTTCCTCCTGCCGTTTATCCGGCTTATTCTTACAGTACCCTTCAGGGCCTGGCTTACACTTCCTGCAGGAAGTCACTGCTGGCTACACCAGCATGGCTGTCCTTGCCGCATGAACCTATGGAACCACAACCTCTCCTTTCATTGCACTTATCACATTTTGTTGCCACAATTTGTTTAACAGTCTGTCAAGCATACCTGGTTTTCAGCCTTCATGAGCTCAAGGACCAGGAATATTTTATTCACCTTGTATGCTCAGCATCTGGCACAACACCTGGCCAAGGAGGCACATGATATATTTTACTGAATGCATAAATGCAACCCTTTGATGGATCTCATCAAGAGAAACAGAAAATGATCATTTTTCTTGGACCATGTTTAGACTTTTTCTGGAAGGCTCTTTATAGTTTATACTTTGCCGAGTACAACTAAAGAATGCGAATGAAAACACTCCATGACAGATTTTATGTCTGCAGAGACCTAAAAATTTCCTTTTCTCCTGAACATTTCACCAACAAGAACAGGCATCAAGATGTGCAGCTAATTGAGATAGGCAAATAAGAATCATCCCTTCATTCTAATCAAGAAGGGAGAACCATGGGAAAGTCACTGCAGGCAGGTGGCCGCACGCACGCTCACCTGACACGCAGCTCTCTTAGCCGACCCCTCTGGGTCCGCGCGTGACACTGCACTGGACGGCTGGGACGAGGCATCTCACTTCGGATCCCAGAAAAGGCAGAAGACTTCTTGTTGGGCAGTATCTTTGGAGAATAAAGTTTCTTAACTGCACCATCTCTAAAAGACCTTAAATTTGAGGAGTAAGGGGGAAAGGATGAATCAAATTATCTCTGCATTGATGCAAATACCTTTTAACATACAAGCATAATTAAATAAACTCATTGAGACAGGCTGATGATAACTATGCTTCAAGGACAATAAGCAGCCCAATTTGACAAAAACACCCGCCAGCCACAGGAGGTGGGTACTGCTGAGTCGGCTCTAGGCAGAAACTACAAAGCTGGAGGATACCCTGGTGTCATCAATCCTAACATTTTAACGCATCATTTTAGGCTAATCATTTACAAATTAAAAACATTCTTTTCTATAAAAACAAAAAATCGTATTAGGAATGATTTTCAGATAATGTGGCTTTTATCAATGTGAAAATACATACTTTTATTAAAAACTAAATTGCTAATTTTTAATCCCATTTTAGAAACATTAAGAGATTACATTGTTGGGATGAACTCATGATTTTAAGAAATGCATGGCAGAGCTCTGCCTGCAGGAGAAACCCAGAAGCAATGACATCCCATTAGCAGCGAGCATACTTGGAGCTTAAATATTGCTCGTAAAGTACCATTCCCTACTAAAAGGAACCAGGGCTCCTTGGAGATTTTCAGGTCTGGGACAAGGAAAATACAAGATGAGCCTGGAATTTCTTTTTAGGTCAGAAAATAAAGAAGTGTTCAAAGAATGATGGGGCATGTCAAAAAGACACAGGAGCCTCACTGTGGCTGGTGTGGCTCAATGGATTGAGCATCGGCCTAAGAACCAAAAGTCGTCAGTCAGGGCACATGCCTGGGTTGCGAACCAGATCCCCATTTGGGGGCGTGTGAGAGGCAGCTAGTCAATGTTTCTCTCCCTTTCTCTTTCTCTTACCCTCTCTCTAAAAAGAAATAAATAAAATATTTTAAAAAAGACAAGACACAGGAGCCAGTTTGAAAGGGCTCCCACTGGCCAAATCTGGGACGATCTCAATAATAATAAGTGAAAACCCACTAAATCAAATAGAAATCCATAAATCCACACTGATATAAATAAATAAATGAATAAATAAATACATGTGGGAGAATTGGAAAAGCTCTACTTTGCAGTAGAATGCCAACTAATAAACTTAGAAGGAAATTACAAATGCATCATTTAGGAACTATCATAGTAATAACTGATTCAGATAAGAATCAGCAATGGACGCAAAAACATGTGGGTGCTAGTTTGATGAGGAACAGGACATAAATGTAGTTTCAAAAAGTATCTCTCCACAAAATACTTTATAGGGGAGAAACCTGGCAGATTTCATCTCAACCAGTGGACAAAAGTTACCATCAGTGGTAAAGGGACCTAGTCAGTATGACGTGTCTCCTAATATCGATGCCCTAAGGATAACACACTATCACTTCAGTGATATTCCCGCCAAAAATGCACGACCTGAATTTAATCATGAAGAACCACTGAACAAGTCCAAATTGAGAAATATTCATAAAAGGGTAAGTGTTCTGAACTCTTAAAAACTGTTTAGGTCAGTCATATAAAATAAGAAAAGACAGAGAAAGAGTTCCAAATTAAAGGAGACTAAAAACAAAAACTACAACATGTGATCCTGGCCCAGAAGGGATAGGAATAAAGGGGAAGTTTTTCCTTTATTTTGTTGTTTTCTTGTTATAACATTTTTGGGACAACTGGCCTCAGCTTACTCTCAAATGGTACAGGGGTAAAAATATAGATATAAATCTACAGGTACATAGCTACAGATACAGTTGATTCTCATTATTTGTAGTAATTAATTATTACAAAATCAAATAAACACTGAATCTGTGAATATACTGAACCATGGTTCTTAGAGGAAATACATAGTTAGGTTTCTGCAAACCTTCAAAAACATTTTCATCAGTCAGTCAACACACAGCCACATTTATGTGTACTTCCGTTTAAAGACACCTTATTTAATACACATAGTGATTCATTAACATTGAACTTCTGGCCAACAGCATTTTAACAGCACTTGTCCTGAACAAAGCTTGTCTAGCATACTTCTTTTCTCCATAAGATACATCACGGCTTCCTTGTGCTTAGAACACTAAACATTACTTTACCCCTGTGCTTGGGAGCCACTTTAAACAGAGAAATCATCAACGAGATGCACAAACCTGTGAAAACATGGCCCTACAGAGGATGAAAAAAAGGACACTTATTTTACATTATGAGAGCTGAAACAAGAAGACAGAACACTGCCTTGTTTGACCTCAACTGGGGCGACTAAAATTTCTTGCCCCTCTACACATGCCCACAATGACGTGAAAATGCCAAGAGAGAGACAGAGACAGGCAAACAAATATGGTAAAATGTTAGTAACAGGAGAATCTGGAAGAAGAAAGGCATATAGTTCTTTGTCCTATGCTTTCAACATTTCATTAAATTTGAAATTATTTCAAAATAAAAGTTAACAAAAAACATTTAAGGAAGTAAGGCTTTCATCCCACTCACTTGAAAATAAAAAGAGGCCCTAAAAGGTTAAAAGCCCATGAAGGTATACGGTCATACTGGTGGAAGGTATACTGAGACCGTCCCCTTCTGAAGCTCTGATACAGCAAACGAATCAAACATATCAAACAGGCAGTCAGCGCACAACAGACTGGAAAGCCCAAGCCAAAGTCATCCTGCCCCCGCTGCCCCCTCCCTTCATCCGTCTCTCCGGGCTCCTCCGTAACAACTAGTAGTTCAAGCAGCAAGTAAACTACAGATCTGGAAGTTTAAAGACAATAAAGATTGTCAACATTGGTGTAAGTCAGGCAGCCCCAGAAAGCTAAATCATTCTAACAAAATCAACACCTAAACGAACAGATTACAAGCTGAAATTATACATCTATTTACCTATGTGTCTGTTTCCCTTAACCTATAAGTAAGCCTCACAATGACAGGGACCATTTTATTTGCTACTATATACGCAGTCCTTAACATTCTGCCAGGGGTATAGCAGGTACTCATAAAACATTTGTTAAATTATAGAGGGGAGAGGAGTAGAAGAATGGAAAGGTTGAAAGAAATATGAAATGGATGAAACAGGCACTTTAAAAACACAATACAAATAAGCTAAAAATTATGAAGAACATGGGAGGAGCCCTCTACAATATAGTAATTGTATTACCATGTCTGTAATAGGAAGAGTATGAGTACCCAAGAAGTACAAATACAAGTGAGGAGAAAGACAGAATTTGAAAATGTTCACCGAAAAGTGCCTAGGGGGAAGCCATGCCTGACCAATTCATTTAACAATTTAATTTACAGGATACAATTTACTTTGTATCTTTTAGTGTGTTTATCCACTCAGTATTAAGAGCCTACAACAAAGGTAGGCTTACAAATACAAATATGTATTCAATGTTAAAACGTTGTACAATGAGCCAACAAGATGTAGACAGCTTACAGCAAGTACAGGAAGGACTGTGACACACAATCAGTGTCTACACTCTCCTTCTTCCACAGAAAAAATGTTCCGTTGGGCAGGTGGATGCCCAGAATAAAGACTAAATTTCTCAGGCTCCCTTGCTACTAACTTCTGAAATTAAGTTCTGACAGAGATGTAGGTAGGACCATCAGGTGGCAGCTTCCTGTAATCTGCCTTGAGAGCCAGCAAATGCACACTTTTTCCCTCTTATCTCCCTTGGCTGCGCCGCCCGGAATGGCTGTGAACCTGGACTGAGAGAAAGAGGACCGCGGCCTAGATATGGTGGGGTGGGGAAGGGGGAGGTTCCAGGCCCATGGAGACCTTACTGGACAGAACAATCACGACAGCTCTAGGCCACTTACCTCCAGATTTCCTATATGTGAAAGGGGAATAACCTGTACCTTGCTTAGCATCTGCTGTTCCGGATTTTCTGGACCTAATCCAAACTAACAGGGCACGATTATTACTGCATACAACACAGGAGGCCATGGAGTGGTAAAAAATGAAGTTGGGACATGGGCTGTGGAGAAAGCCTTGAAGGAAAGCCTAGGAGCTTGGACTGGAGCCCAAAGGCAACAAGAGTCGTGAAAAGTGACTCTCAGTGACTTCTAAGTAGAAAAAAGGTGACAGAGTCAGATTTGCATTTTGATATGTCATTCTAGCAGTCATCATGGAGATGATGCATCAACTATGCTCCCAAACTCTGATTTCAAACTCCCTAAGAAATCTTCTGAATATAACATGGTTTCCTGCAGCAAGTGCCTTACTGGGAGAGAGGTGGTATACACTGCTGGTTTCCCTGGCAATCATATTTCTCAATATAAACTAACAGACTGGTGCTTTATGCATTGGAATGATTCAAAGTAACTGCTGTTCTAGTTTGTGCATCAGTTTAGTAAACACAAGTCCATCTCCAAAAGACTCAGGGGTCCTACACAAAATTGAGAGTGTGGGTGAACTGAAACTATTACAGTCTGGTGGGAATTTCTGGTCTGGGCTTTACCAAGGTCAGGGAATTGCAAGCCTTAAAATTGGTTTAAGGTGAGTCCTGGCCAGTAACATAGCTAGGAGGCTAACAAAGGGAAATGTAAATCACTTCTGGAAGAAGACACCTTCATCATAAGCCTAAAAACATTCCTAGTTTATATTTTTTATTTTCAGAGAAAAGGGAAGAGAAGGAGAAAGGGAGAATAACATCGATTCGTGAGAGACTCATCAGTCGGTTGCCCTTTGCATGCCCCCAACCCGGGACCAGGCCCACAATCCAGTCTTGTGCTCTGACCGGGAATCAAACCAGTGACTCTTCGACATGTGGAACAATGCCCAACCCACTGAGCCTCACCAGTCAGGGCCCGATACATAATTTTTAATATACCATGTCCAGCACATGAAGAAGCTAGACCCCATGATTAAGAAAACAGAAACAACAGATCCACAAAGGCTTCAGACATTAAATATACATTTTCATACTTTTTATTCATTTAATGTAAGTTTACTGAGCACCTTAATGCAGGCTGAAAGCAGCCATGATCAAAGTAAGAGAGAAACAACAATCAGCCAGCCTTGCTGTTATAACTTCTAACTTCAGGATAATCATCCTCATTCCTGCTCAAAATTGAAAACATTTTTTTATCTTTTAACTGAAAAGTTTATTGGTGACCAGAAAATGTGTACAAGTTAAAACACAAACACTTCATGTGATTTAGTTATAGCATCTTATGGAAAAAAAAAAAAATCTGCTCTAGGCCTGGGTTGGGCTTATATTTCCAAGTTTTTAAACTTATAAAGGGCATTAGAGTATATGAAATGACTTATTTCTTTTAATTGCCGTAAGTAAAGTTTAAGAGGCCTAAAACAAAAAAGCAGATATGAATTATAATGAGAACAAATACATATTTGGAAACAAGGCCACATAAACCTGGGTGGTGCATTTATTTGGCCATTTCATTGTTTAACCTTCAAAAATAAAGTTTTGTAAATATTTCCCCCATGCATTCATCCACATGCATGTCTATGTTCTTGTATAAAATTGATGCCCACAAGTTTGGCATTAAGGAATGCACTGAAATAGACTCTGAAGTAAGGTATTTCATGAGATGAAGGAACCGGGTCCAAAATGAAAAAGCTAGAATTCTGCATTTTAAAACTCAGCACACATCTCCAGACAAAGCTGATTTAAACTCTTGTCCAGAGATTTTCATGGTTATTTCCACTGCATCCATGATTTTAAAAGTATCTACAAGAACTGAAGCCCCTTAATTCCAATCAACATATTTCAGACATTTTGCTTGCCAAGAATTTCTTTCTTGACACTCAGGACAAAATATAAAAATGAAACGTTTTCTCTAGAAAGCATTTTTAGCATAATGAACACGTATGATTGTTCACAGTGTAGGTAACCTACTCTTCTCCTGATAATCTTCACAGAAGAGTCTCAGTGACTCAGGAATTCTCGGTGTCACAGTGCTCAAGGCTTGAGTAAAATGTTTCCTCCTAACGCAACTGGCTTGAACGTCTTCCTCCAGCACCAGAAGGGCTGCCTTCTACAGACAGCTCTGACCTCTGCTCCCAGGCATGTGTCCATTTGAAGAACGAGTTCATCCAGATCGATGTCCTGACCCATTGGCACAGAGTGAAACTGCTGGCAAAACATTTCCCTCCTTGTTCCTGCATCTGGTAAAGGCACACGGACAATTCTATCAAATCTTCCAGGCCATGTCACAACATTGAGCAGTTAGCAGCTGCCAAAACTGTCACACGCTTTAAGTGTTCAATGCCATCCATTTCCACGAGGTGCTGAGTCAAAACATGGTTGGCCCTATGTAGTCCCAGCATCTGAAGAACTGCCCCTTGCAACCACTAAGGTATCCAGTTCATCAAAGAAAATAATGGAAGGAGCCACCACCCCTGCTTTTCTGAAGACCCCTGTAACTGCTCTTTCAGATTCACCAACATATTTATTCATTAATGCAGGTTCCTTTGCGGCTAGGAAACTCAGTCCACCCTCACTGGCCAAAGCCTTTGCAACTATTGTTTCAGAGCACCCAGGTAGCCCACACAGAAGAACTCCTTCAGGTGGCTGAACACCCATTCAGGTAAGACTCTGGATGTCTCAAGGGCCATTTCATAGCCTGTTCCAATTTTGGTCTAATATTTTCCAGTCCTCCTACATCTGACAAGGATACAAAAGGGACATCAACTGCAACCTCCCTCCTAGCACTGAGCCTGATGTCATTCATCCCCTGTCGGAAATCATTCAGAGTGATCTTCACCAACCCAGCCACCTTGCTCTCAGGGAGATTAGGCTGTTTCTTCAGGACGCTCTGCAAAGCATAGAAACCTGTTGCACTGCAGCACTTCCCTGTGTGTCGTGGCCTCTAAGAGAAGACGGTCCAGTCTGTCTTACTCACCAGTGCGAGGTCTTGCCCAATAAATGAATCAAAATCAAAATGTTAACAATAGATACTTCCACATATGCAAAACAGTTTTTGACTATAACATAAGTTATGAAGTGATTTCTGGATGAGAAACCCAAAAACCAACAGAAATTCTTTACCCAAACTTCATATCTCACCATTCATGACTTACGAAAAAGCTTGTTTTCTATTATTTACTAATTTCACACACAAAATATTTACAGGCTTTTATATGAGCCAGAATTGCAGGTGTCTCTTTTGTAAAAGCCCATCACTCACCTGGAGTCAACCTTCCTCTCCATTCTCACAGTTAAGCTCTTTTGGATGGAAAGTCAACCTGTGGCTTGATATATATTTCTTATTGAACAGATTCTTCATGAATCAAAGTCTTTTATCTTCTCTTCTAACTATAAGAAAAAAGGGAATAAAAGAGAGCGTAAATTATCCGAAGCCTATTAGGAGCCACATTTCTGAACAGCTACATGCCAGCTCCTACTCTCCAAATTTTTTTAAATTATATTTTATTGATTATGCTATTGCAGTTGTCCTGATTTTTTCCCCATGCGCCACTCACTCCCTTAGGCAATCGCCATACCATTGTTCACGTCCATGCGCATAAGTTCTTTGGCTACTCCATCTCCTACACTGTACTTTACATCCCCATGACTGTTCTGTAACTACCTACTTGCACTTCCTAACCCCCTCACCTTTTCACCCACTCCCCCACAACACCCTCCAGACTGGCAACCGTCAGAATGCTCTCCATGTCCATGATTCCGTCTCTGTCCTTCTCTTTTTTTTTTTTTAGTTTGTTTTTAGATTCTATTGTTGACAGATATGTATTTATTGCCACTTTATTGTTCATAGATCTGATCTTTTTATTAAATTAGTCCCTTTAACATTTCATATCATAATCGTTTGGTGATATGAACTCCTTTAGTTTTTTTTCTTGTCTGGGAAGCTCTTTATCTGCCTTCTGATTCTAAATATCTTTACTGGGTAAAGCAATCTTGGCTGTAGGTCCCTGCTTTTCATGACTTTGAATATTTCCTGACAATCCCTTCTAGCCTGTAGAGATTCTTTTAAGAAATTAGCTGACAGTCTTATGGGAACTCCCCTGTAGGTAGTTAACTGCTTTCCTCTTGCTACTTTTAAGATTCTCTTTATCTTTAATCTTTGGCATTTTAATTATGATGTCTCTTGGCATGGGCCTCTGCATTCATTTGTTTGGGACTCTCTGTGCTTCCTGGACTTGCTTGTCTATTTCCTTCACCAAATTAGGGAAGTTTTCTTTAATTATTTTTTCAAATAATTTCCAATTTCTTGCTCTTTCTCCTCTCCTTCTGGCACCCCTACGATGAGAATGTTGGAACGCTTGACGTTGTCCCAGAGATTGCTTACACTATCCTCATTTTTCTCGGAATATTTTTTCTTCTTGTTGTTCTGATTGGTTGTTTTTGCTTCCTTATGTTCCAAATCATTGATTTAATTCTCAGCTTCACCCACTCTACTGTTGTTTGCCTATGCCACCATCCTGACCAGAAGTCTGTGCCTGTCCTATTTTTTTTTAAAATATATAATCTTTATTATATTTTCTCCATTACCATTTAGTCCCCTTATATTCTCCTCACCCCAGCAATCACCACCGTGCGGTCCATGTCCACGAGACCTTTTTCTTTTTTGCTCAATCCCTGCGCCCCTAACTTCCCCCACCAACTAGCTCTCACTTGTTCTCCATCCATGAGTCTGTGCCATTCCTTCTTAATTCAACACTAAATGAACAAGTAAGGTCCCTGATTTGAAATATTTTTAACTGGATTTTTTAAAGGTTACTTTCTAAGAAAGGAAACTAGGAGGGTGAGCCATACTCAAAAAGTTATGATCGGCTCATTCTTCCTGTCCAGATGTTGCTCCAAGACCTTCAACTTCCCTTCATAAAAACACCAGTAGAAACCAAAATTTCTTTTAATTTAATCTTTATTGTATGTTTTCCATTACCATTTAGCCCTCTTATACCCCCCAAAGTGTCCTTTTATCCCCCAAGATAAATCGGTTGTCAATGTTACCTATTAAAATCTTCAGGCAGTTTTCAAACAGTAGTGGAATACTGTACACAGTCTTCACTTTCACTTAGTGATTATTTCTACCAATAACATTCATTATGAAGTAAATAAATAACATGTGCCAACAATATCAATGTTGTGGGTTGACTTCTGTCCCCAAAAAACATATGCTGAAGTCCTAACCTGTAGTATCTATATATGTGACCTTATTTGGAAACAGTCTTTTGTAGAAGTAAGTTAAGATGAATTCATACTGGAATAGGACAGGCAGTTAATCTAATATGACTGTCATCTTTACAAAAAGAAAAAAGACACAGGGACAGAAACTCACAGAAAGGAGAATGGCAGGTGAAGACACAGGCACACAGGAAGAATTGCACGTGGTGATAAAAGAAGAGATTGGATTATTATAGCTGCAAGCCAAGGAACACCAAGGACTGCTAGCAACACCAGAAGCACAGAGAAAGGCATCGAACCGATCTTCCACCAGAGCCTGCAGAAAGAGGATGGTATTGCTGACATCTTGATTTCAGACTTCTAGCCTCCAGAACTACATAAATTTCTGTTCTCTTAAGACATCCAGTTTGTGGTATTTTGTTACAGCAGCCTTTAGAAACTAACACAAATAGTAAGACAAAGGAGTAAGATTTAAGCACATGGTGAAGGAAAGCTAACAGGGTAGACGTGTCCCACATTGAGTAACTGTCATGCATTCATAATAGACATTCATTCTATTGTAAAAGAAAGAAATCATCCTTTATAATCAAGGTTACATATTCCAATAACAATCAGACAAGGAATTAGCCAGAAAAGAGTTTATCCATACTAAATCAATAGTTCTCACTGAGATCAAATCTATGATAAAATCTAGTCTTATTGGTATCACATTCCAACTGACAATGGTCATCATTAGTGACTATTTCCATAAGTAAATGGAAGAATGATTAAAATAGGGATTTTTGGTAAAAAATACTGCCATAATAAATGGGTCATTGCCTTGGGTTTATGCTTTGTTATAATGATTCTATGGGATGTTATCTGTGGTCAAAGACTCCCTTTTGTTATACACTCTGTACCAACATTCTAACTATTTGTATTGTACATACCTGCCTCCCCCTCACTAGAGTAGAAATTCCATGAAAACAGAAGCTATGTCTTTCCCACCACTGTATCTCCAGCATCTAAAACAATGTCTGGAACCTGGCAGGTGAGATATATAAATACTGAAAAGACTAGGACACCAGTTTGATCTCAGTAAGGATATGGATATGAACTTGCTTCTCAGTTAGAAAACACATTAATGATAACCAAATGTAAAAGATAGCCCAAGAAAAAGAAAGCTTATTAGGTGAGGACTTCCAGTTAAACGTATAGATTGCCCACCTAAGATGACAGTAAAGAATAAAAGGGTATACAAGAGAGGGGAGGAGAGATCATAGGAAATGAAAGATTTCCACAAACTTTTGCAACAAGAAAGTGTAAAAAGGAAAATTAACTGACCTAATAGATTTGAGGAAGTAAAAACTGACAGCATGAAATACCAAAGAGAAGCAGGCCAACAGAATCCCAGAAGAGCTCAGAAATAAAAGAAGCAGGGAAAGGCTCCCGGAACTGAAGCCACAGGGCACAAATGAGGGGACTGAATGAAAGTCCATATGGTGAATATTTGGGACCCCTGGTCTTCTCCTCACCCTGGACAGGCAGGTTTACACCTGACCCATCCCCACTCACCCTATTCCAGAATTCTGGCAGCTAGACTGGTACCTCCCAGGAGGAGACTGAAAGAGTCCCTCAGAAGCAGCTAAGAATTAACAGACCTCCAGATTCTGACATCTGCACCCCATCTCCATCAATGAAATTGCAGGTTTGCCCCTAGAGAAGCTCACAAACCTGTATCTCCTGCTCAGATGCTGGGAGCTTCCAACTTCTCAGCTGCTAACCTTAAGTATGTATGGACAGTCAGGAATCACAAGACATTTGGAAATGACCTCCAACAAGAAGAAAAAGATCAAAATAAAGGCATCTGAGGAAGCGCTGCCACTTGTGATATATTCCTGGCAAAAACTTCAATCTATTATCAAACCTCATCTAAAACTAAGTACCAACTTACAAAAATAGAGGGGACAAATAAAATGACTTTGCAATCAGCAAAATCAGTGACATAGGAAACTTTACAGGACAAATGACCAAGTTCCTTCAATAAACTGCAAAAAAAAAAAAAAAAAAAAAAAAAAAAGGGGAGGGGGAGAAACTTACACAGTAAGAGCCTTAGGATGCATATTAACCAAATGCAGTATATGGACTTTAATTTTGAATCTTGATTTTAACAAACTACCTATAAATCCACTGTCAAACAAAAAACATGAAACAATCAGGGGAATGTAAACTTTAATTTTCTAAACTTAATCTTTTAATAAGTTATTTAAAATTACCATTTTTGTTGTGATAGTGGTGTTGCTTGTTCTTTTAGAAGGACACCCTGCCCTGGCTGGTATGGCTCTGTGGATTGGGTGCCAGCCTGAGAACCAAGAGATCATCAGTTTGATTGGTTTGATTCCTGGCCTGGTCCCCAGCCAGGGGCATGAGAGAGATGGTTGATCTTGTTTATCTCCCTCTCTTTCTCTATCCCTTCCCCTCTCTCTAAAAATAAACAAAATCTTTTTTTTTTAAAGGACACCTTATCTTTTGCATAATACACAGAAAAATTTAGAGATAAGATAGGGAAAATCTGAGCACCAAAATAATTAAGGAGAGTAATAAATTATAACACATTAAATAAAAAAGGAACTCTTAATTCCAGACTAATAGAGAAATGAACATAAAGACAAAAAAAGTGGAGCAGGGCTCTTCCTTACACAGAATGCCCACTGAGAAACGTGGAAGAAGTTGTAGAACTGGAAAACCCCCATCCTGTAACCATCAAAGAGAAAATTTTTTAAAGGACAGAGGCAAAAAAGTTAAAAAGTAACTATGTGGATAAAGGTATATGGGAGTTTCCTGTATCATTCTTGCAACTTTTCTGTTTGAAATTATTTCAAAATACAAATTAAAGCAGAAGTGATCCAGTGGGGACAAAGTGAGCAGAGGTAAAGATGAAACAAGATAGTTCATAAATTGATAGGTTTTGGGTTTTGTGTTTTTTTAATTTTTATTTATTGATTTTTTTTTTTTTTTTTTTTTTTTTTAGGGAGAGAGAAATATCAATTTGTTGTTTCACTTATTTATGGATTCATTGGTTGATTCCTATATGTGTCCTGACCAGGGATCTAACCCACAACCTTGACATATCAGGATAATGCTCTAACCAAATAACCTACCTAGCCAGGTATAAATTTTTCTTCAATTATAGTTTATTTTCAATATTATTTTGTATTGGTTTCAGGTATACAGCTTAGTGGTTAGACATGGAGTTGATAGCTTTGTAAGCCAGGCGATGGGTACACATTATATGTGCTTATAATTTTTCATAATAAAAATGTTGAAGGAAATAAAAATTCTGGAGGAAACAAAGACAATGTGGGAAACAGGAAAAAAGAAAACTCTATAGTTAATATCCTCAGATAGATAAGAGAACATATTATATATACTTATACAATAAAATGAGAATATTATTTAAAAGAACAAGAAATAGGACAGCCAAAATATTTGAAGGTGGCTAATAAAGTTGAAGACATGTCCCAGAAATTCCTGGGGAGGCTTGATGAGAGGAAATATTTTTTTTAAAAGATAGAAAATCAGAGGTTCAATCGAGGGGATCAGATACACAACTAGCAGGAATTCCAGAGAGAGAGAGATGTGAAAGGGGAGGAAATTATCAGCAAATAGGAAGAAAATTTCTCAAAACAGAGACGTCCTGCACCAAGATCAAATGTCACGGTAGATAGAACACTTGTTTTCAACATGCAGGAGGAAAAGCATAAGATAGCCCTTAAAAAGTTATAGTAAAATTGGAAATTGTCAAAATTAAAAACATTTGTGCTTCAAAGACACTATCAAGAGAGTGAAAAGACAACTCACTGAATGGGAGAAAATATTTGCAAATATGCTAAGGGACCTACATCTAGATTATATATTTTTTAATTCCTACAACTCAATAATAAAAAGACAAATAACTCACTTTTTAAAATAAATGGAGGATATGAATAGACATTTCTCCAAAGAAGATACATAAATGGTGAATAAGCACATTACAAGATGCTCTATATCCTTAGCCATCAGGGAAATGCAAATCACACCACAATGAGATGATACCCATTAGGACGGCTATAATCAAAAAGACAGGAAGATAATAACAAGTGTTGGTGAGCATATAAAGAAACTGAAACTCTGCCCTAGCTTGTGTGGCTCAGTGGATTAAGTGCCAGCCTGCGAACAAAGTGTCGCTCGTTGGATTCCCAGTGTAAGGCATATGCCTGGGTTGCAGGCCAGGTCCCCAGCAGGGGGCGCACAAAAGGCAACCACACATCGATATTTCTCTCCCTCGCTTCCCGTCTCTAAAAATAAATAAATAAATAAGTGAATTTAAATAAATAAACAAACTGAAACCTTCATACACTGCTGGTGATAAAGTAAAATGGTGCATTTCAGATAACAGATGTGCAGTTCCTCAAAAAGATAGTTACCATTTGATTCAGCAATATTACTCCTAGGTATATTTCCAAGGGAATTGAAAACGTAAGTCTATAGCAGCATTACTTGCAATAGTCAAAAAGTGGAAACCCAAATGTCCACCGACTCGTGGATAGAGAAACAAAATATGGTATATCCATGCAATGAAACATTACTCAGCCATAAAAAGAAAGGCAGTACTTAATAGGACAAAAACCACTTTTTCAGTCCCTCTTTCCCAGGGCCGCTGGACCTGTAAAGCATGACTGACCCTAACTGTTTTATGAGTCTTTATCCTCAGGACTAGAAAATTACTGAAAGCACCCTGAAGGTGCAGAGGCTCTGGGAACTTACAAAACAGGACATACCAGACCACACCACCTGACCGGCAGCGCAACTGAAGCATCTGGCTCTACAACCACCCCATGACCCAGTAACAGCCCAAAAGCCCTAAGCTCTCAGGGCTGGTGCATATCTCTGCACCTAGTCCTTTCCCTCCCTTGGGAAACTAAAAATAAAACCTTTACTCTCTGCACTTCCTTCTCTTTGTGAATTCTTCCACAGCCCTAATCACCACCCCCCTAACAGTATTGTTACACGCTAAAACATGGGTGATCCTTGAAGACATTATGCTAAGTCAAAGAAGCTATTCACAAAGGACCACAAAGTATTTAATTCCATTTATAGGAAATGTCCAAAACAGGCAAATCTAGAGTCAGAAAGTAAACTGGTGATTGCCAAGAGCTGGAGGAATGAAGGGAAATGGGTGGTGACTACTGACAGGTGAGTGATATTAACATTCTTTTTAGGGTGATAAAAATGTTCTAAAATTGATAATGGTATAGTTGCATAACTATGTGAATATACAAAAAAACACTGAATTGAACACTTTAAATGGGTGAATTGTATGGTATGTGAATTATATCTCAATAAGGCTGTTAGACGAAAAAGAGGAGGAGGAGGAGGAGGTAGAGGAAGAAATAAAAGTAGTAGTTACAGGAGAATGTGCTCCAAAAGCCATGAAAGCAAATCAAGAAAAAAATTAAAGAGGTTCAGAACAACAGGGAATTCAACACAAGAGAATAGCAAAAATAAGTAAATCCCAGGATGGATGTGCAAAGAAATCCCTGGATTAGAACTAGGTACAGCAGGCATAGAGCCAGCAGATCAGATGAGAGCAGATGAGGAAGGTCTCCAGGAAAAAAGATGAATCTGATGGGCTTGAGAGTATGCAAAAAATTACTGATAGCCACATGAGAAATGTTGAAGCATTCAGAAAAAAATAATTTAGTGATGTGTGCATGAATACTAGGCAAAAGAAAAAGATAATTATTAATTCTCGGGGAAAAAGATGGGATGTACAGGAAGGGTTTCAGTACTCTACTTGATTCAGCAGTGAATATTTATTATATAATGTAAGCACTATTAATTTAACAACAAATTACCACATAATCACATTGGTGAAATGAGGAAAGGAAAACTAAGTGATTATCTCCCACGAATAATAGTCAGCGCTTAATGTGTAAAATTAACATATGAAAGCAATTATCACTTATCAGGCTATTTCCAATTTATAAGTAACATCAGGAGAAGCAGCTAGAGGATGGAAACTGGAGTGCTATTCCCTATGAAAAGCTTTTAATATTAGTTTTCTAAAACTATGTATGTTAATTTGAAAAATAAATTAAAAGTATCTTTCCAAAGTTTCTACAGTATCTTGCGGCTCCTAACAGTGTCTGAAAAATGAATGGTCCTACTAAAGGAAAAGCAGGGAAATACAGCACCTAAATTTGTATCTTAAGCCCCACGATAAGTTTCAACTATTCCAGAAAGCCTCCCCTGACAGCCCCAAAAGTCATACTTTCAAGGCACTTAGGCGGGCACCACGTAATCTAAAACGAAGAGATTACATTCAAAATAACATTTATGGGGGGTGGGCGGGGTGGGAGGGCGTGGTGCTGCTCTCCGGCCCCGGCTGCCGGCGGCGTGGGGGGCGTGGCTGTGAGGTCGAGCCGCACCTCACCGCACACGCTCGGCCCCGACGGAGTCTGCCCAGGCCTGGCTCCTCGTGGAGCCTGTGCTCCCGCTTTATTTAAAATAGTAATAACAACATTTACGGAGTGGGTACTCTGTGCCAGGTATAATACTAAGCATTTTTCATAACAACTACCCCAACAAGGGTGGCCATTTCATTTCATAAACGAAGTGCTCAAGGTCATCAGCTAAGCGGTTACAGCTGGGACTGGTACTCAGGTCCTTAACATCATTCATTCAACGAATATTTACTGTATCTCTACACAGAAGTGAACAAGAAATCTGAACGGCCTCCTAGCAAATAAAACGAAGCACTAATCTCCAACAGAGAGAGAAGCTTCATCATCTGAACAGTTTGCCCAGTTGGCCCCTTTGGGCTCAGGTGGGGCCCCTGAGGTTTACACTAGCCCCTCCCCCGGCTACCCAGCAGGGATACAGAAACCCGGAAATGAGCACGCGCACGTTAAAGGGCGGTGCATGGACGTGGGCACTGACACCCGCCTGTAGCGCACTAGAGGCACGGGAAGATGCGGCGACCCCGGGCCCAGGAGACAAGACACTGACGAGCAGCAACATCCGGCGAAACGACACGAGCGCCGCCCCCGGCAAGGAGGACAGTCTCCGGAAGCCGCCCTGGGCGCCCTTTTCACATCTGAACACCCGGGGCTCGGTGGGGAGTGGAGGAATTTCTAGAGGAGGAAGCGGTGGCTGCTACGAGAGTAACCCGAACCAGCTCCGGGGTGGGCAAGGATGCGCTGGCAGGTGGGCTCCTGGATCGGGAGGCTGAGCCACTAAGAAGCTGGGGACGGTCAGCCCGGGCCTCATACCTGGGAAAGTCAAGCCCTTCCAAATCTCGCCTCAGGGAAGTCTCGGCGGGATCCGTCCGACGCCGAATACCAACCCCCCTAAGCCGGAGTGGCCCAAGATCGCTCCGCGCTTCCCGCGCCACAGCTCACAGGTCTCGCGCCCGCCCCGCCCACGTCTCCACGGCGACGCGGCGTGCGTGAGGGACGCCCAGCCTGGAACCCCGAAGTTTGCGCAGCCTCAGTTAGGCAGGTGACACGCCTACCCCTGGCAGCCTGGGAGCGCCCGCGAGAGAAGCTAACACGGAGACAGGTGGATAAACGCACCCTTGGGGTAGCCCTCGGAGGGCTCTCAGCCTCCAGGGCCTGCCCTTTTTTTTTTTCCAGCTGCCTACGGAAGCTGTTGAACAAGGAGTGGAAGCGGTTTCGGAGCGGATCCCCAGGTTATGCTTCGCGCGGCAAGCACTTGGTTCTCCATGATTCCCAGAGAGTGCGGAGATTGTCGATCTGGACTGGTGGTTGGGGGCGCGTCGTTCTGTAGCTCCTAATTAAAATTATTCCAGGCTGTTATCTTCTAACGTCTTCCTTTAAAATGTAATTAACAAGCACTAGTTAGTAAGTTGTTAAATTTTAAGTTTGGGGTCTACACTGATTTTTAATTTTTTCACTCATCTTCCTTGCTATTGGACTTTATTATTATTTTTATTATTATTATTATTGGAAGGGGGAGTGAGGGAGAGAGGGAGAGAAACATCCATACACTGATCCATCCCCAACCCAGGCATCTGCCCTGACCCGGACTCAAACTGGGACCTGGGACCTCTGGGTTCACAGGCCAGTGTTCAATCCACTGGGCCACACCAGCCAGGGCCCACGTTAACCGTCTTTTGAAAACAGATACAGAGGCATTTTTATATGCTTTTTTCCTATGATTTGTAAAACATGGCTTGAAAGCACATAAGATGTATTGTGGAGAGAGCAAAGGCTAGCATTATGCATATAAATGCTTTAAAAGATTGTACGTTAAAAGCATAAGGAAAAAATAACTTAGTTGTCTCAGGATTAGAATATCAGATAATTTGCATTTTTGCTCTTTTCTGCATATGTTAATTTTTGTAATTTAAAAAGTGTTTAAGAGGAGAAGTTCCACTTTTGCAGGACACAGGAACCAATCTTTTAGGGACGACTCTTGTCTGAAGATACGCAGCCAAGCAATTTTTAAAAAGTGAGTTTCAAAGTCCTAATTAACCCTATAATATTTACTTACTGTAAAATTAGTCTTATAAGTACTTTGTATAAATTATGACATATCCAAGATAATAAGCATGCTCCCTAAATGACACTGGTGCTTGCTTTCTGTCACGTCAATTTACCACCATCAGCTTTGACTAATTTAGGAAGGAATGAAAGGCATTTCCACTTGAGTTATAATGAAAATAGTCCAGTCAGGAAAGATTAGAACGTAAGAGTATTGTAGAATAATAGCTAGGGCAGCAGGACTTACATTGTGTCAAATTCTATTTTAAGTACTTTCTATATATAAAATCAAAGACCTAAAGTGCCAGAAGGGGATCTAGGCTTTACAAATATTTCGCTCTATGGTCTTCTAGGAGTCCCTTAGTAAATTTGTAATAGTCCTTAACCTGAGTACATGATAGCACAACTGTGAAACTTTTATTTTCTTGGAACTAGTAATTACCCTTGGAATGAGAAAAACTGAATAGGAAAAAAAAACCATTTAGGTTGGTGCAGGACAACTGGGGTGTAATCCTAACTTTCTGAGATGAGGCTGCTCTCAAATTATCTAGGTTTTTAATATATTCATTTGTTTTTCTACTGTTCTTAGACTGCTAATTTCCCCAACTGACTGTACGTTTGAGACCCCTTAGGCCAAAATTTGAAATAACTTGAAATGAAACCAAAATCTTACGAATATTTAGTAAACAACTAGAATTAAATCATTTCTCTTACTCTCAAATAATCCCAACACTGATATTTGAAAATTCATTATTAATTGCAAAAAGAGCCATTTAGGATTACAAATTATCATTCCTGCCAAGAATAACATTCAAATGATACAATGAACCATTTGAAGAATTAATGCCTCAGGAGTGTGAACACAGCTTCTTGAAATACTTTTTCTTTGATCCAGGCTATGGTTGCATGAGTGAGTTTGCCTTGTGAAAATATGAGATAAGCCCTTCGAATTTGTATACTTTCCTGTGTGTATATAATTCTTTAATAAATACATTTATTTTTATAAAATGTTGCAATGAAACAAGTATTTGCAAGCATCTAGCTTTTGCATGGCACAGGTAAATGTAGTTTACAGATGCTCTGTAAATTACTATCTTTACATATTATTTTTAGTAAACTTATATTTCTAGGTAGTAGTAGTATTCTTTCACAAGGATAAATTGAGACTCAGAAAAAGGTAAATTGAGATCAAGGTTCTGTAAGACATTAAAGAGACTAGTGGAAAAGTACATCCTAACTAGGACAGACCAGAGCACCTAAGAAATTCGCTACAGGCCTGGCCAATATTACCATAATAAATTGCCTTGAGTAGATTTCACATGTGGCTTCTGGTAATTTTATTTATTTTTTTTAAATATGGAACGCTTCACAAATTTGTGTGTCATCCTAGCTCAGGGGCCATGCTAATCTTTATCGTTCTGATTTTAGTGTATGTGCTGTTGAAGCGAGCACTGGCTTGTGGTTATTTTAAAATATGCTCACAAGTTCTTTTAACACTCCCCTTGAATACCCTCTCCGAGAACATGGGCCAGTCTTAGTGACTCCTACCTAAAGAACAGAACATGGCATGGGGCACAGCAGACACTGCGTGATCTCGAGGCCAAGTTAGAAAAGAAAATTCAGCCACTGTCTGACTCTTTTGTTCTCTCTGGATACTTGTCCTCAGAATCCAGCCACTATCTTGCCAGGAAGCTCAGGCCACAGAGAGGCCATGTGTAAGGGTTTCAGCCAACAGTTCCAATGGTCCCAGCTGACCGCCACCATCAACCATCAACCATGTAAGTGAGCCATTAGATGATCGTAGCCCCTAGCCTTCCACCACCTCAGCTAATTCTGAATAGAGTACAGACTAACTGTCCCAGTTAAAATCAGCTGCAATTGCAGATCTGGGTGCAAAATAAATGTTGAGTTAAGCCACCGAGTTTGGAGTGGTTTGTTACAATAACCAACAGTGTTTTTAATATATGTCTAAGTCCCACTATAATCTTTAAAAGTAGATACCGCTATCCCTTTTTGACCTATGAGTAAACAAGTCCAGAAAGTTCAAATGACTAGCTTGGGTTTCACACTAATTAGCAGAGATCAGGATTTAAAAGCTTCAATAAATAGGCCTTCTCTACTACTCCATAATGACAAGGGCATTTCTCCAATATTAGGATAAACCTGGATTCCAAAAACAGCTTGTTTGTTGTTGTTTTTTTTAATAAAAATGACCATTGTTTGCTCATCTATAACATCTTTGTATAGGCATAAAAAAAAAAAAAACAGCTTTATGGAGGAGTGTGAGGCCTTTATCCACTTTATCCTATGTAATCTTGACAACAGCCCTGTGAATGGGTTATCATCATCCCAATTTTACACATGAGAAAACCAAAGCTAAGAATAAATAAATGGGTCTTGCAAATGCCACAGCCCCCGGAGCTTCCTGTGCCCAGCCACGATCAAGACCACCGTGTTCTTTGACATCGCTGCCAACGGTGAGCCCTTGGGCCAGGTCTCCTTCGAGCTGTTTACAGACAAAGTTCCAAAGATAGCAGAAAACTTTCATGCTCTGAGCACTGAGAGAAAAGGTCTGGTTATAGAAGTTCCTTCTTTCGCAGAATTATTCCAGGATTTATGTGCCAGGGTGGTGACAGCAAGTCCATCTGTGGGGAGAAATTTGATGATGAGAATTTCACCCTGAGGTGTATAGGTCCTGGCATCTTGTCGAAGGCAGATGAGGGACTCAAAACAAACCATGCCCAGTTTCTCACCTGCACTGCCAAGATGGAGTGGTTGGATGGCAAGCATGTGGTCTTCCACTAGGTGAAAGACCCATGGACGTTGTGGTAGCCATGGAGCACTTTGGGTCCAGGAATAGCAAGACCAGCAAGATCACTGTGGGCAACTCTAATGAATTTGACTTGTGTTTTACCTTAATCATTAGACCATTCCCTTGTGTAGCTGAGGAGGGCAACCCTTCACCCCTATCTGCTTGAAATGTTCTATAAGCTCCGTGCTCTCGCGACAGTTCGCTGGATTCCGTATTTTCCTTACCCCTTCCAATTCTAGCTGGATTGCAGAGTTAAGTTTATGATTGTGAAATAAAAACTAAACAATTGTCAATAAATAAATAAATGGCCTAATTCTCCACAGCCAGTATGGTGTGGTAGAGCCGGCATGCAAACTCGACCCATTTGCAAATGCTTCCCTCTGCCTCTTGCTTGCCAAAGAAAATACATGTGTAAAGAAACACACTTTATTCGTTATTACAGAGGAAAAGGAAAAAGTTTTCACAATTGTTTTCTCTGTTGCCAAGGATCTTAGGAAGGAAATTTAGTGATCACTCAATATCCTCCCTGATTTCACAAGTGAAAGTTAAGTTCAAAGAAAATAGGCCCCTTCAAAGAAATCGAGACTTCTACCGATACCCTTTCGGAGAAAAATTACAACTCCTTCCACAGCTACGTATCATTTCACACAAACCCTGGTTGGCCCCATAGCACAGAAACAGGAGCTTATGATAATCCTGCAGAGCAAGCTCACAGGTGATCTCAGTCAAAATTTTCCCGAGCGCTCCTCCTCCGCACAGCAATTGCTCGCACCGTTCATACAGGAGACCCTGTAGGGTCTCAGCACCGGGTACCAAGCGCCTGACGTTCGCCATCTCATTTTCACCCAAACACACTCGCACTTCCCCTTCCTGGGCAGACTTCAGGTTATGAGTGGGAAAGAACATCTCAATGAGTTTATCAGTGACCTTTAGCTCAATCAAAAGCAATCGTGGCAAGTTTGTCTAGTAATACAACAACACGTAGTTTCATTTATTCCTCAGAAATATATACAGAGAGGCCATTTTAGAAAGGAGCGAAATTCAGAGAAGAGCTTTGTCAAGATTACACAAATAAAAAAGTGCTGAGGTTTGAGCCCACACCCGGAAGGCTCAAAAGGTCCCAGGTTCGCCTAACTCAGATTACCAGAGCCTAAGCCCCACGGTTATCCGCGGGCGCGAACAGTGCAAACGCAGCGATCGACGTGCTCCTAGGTCCCGCAAGCCGCAGACACAGGCCCACTTCGCCGATGCCACCTCCTTCCCAGGAGAGCAACCTAGCGAGGGTCGCGAGCTCCAAGCACCACCCGTCCTGTTCTGCCCCGCCCCGAAGCGCGCGTGGGAACACGGCGTTCTCCCAGGGCTGCCCACTACGACCGCCTGCGAGCACCTGGGAGGGTTTATGCCACTCCGGCACCGGTCTCCTCCCAACTGTCACCACCTCCCTATCCCCCGTCTCCTTCTCCCCGCCACCTTGCGCTTGTAGGAGCCGGCACCCCGGAAGCTACCCGCGATGTTTCTCTTTTCCGCCCGGCACCGCCGCGGCCACCTCACATCCGGGATCACGGCAGCGAAGGCGGTGCTGGGGCCCGGGTGCGTGGAGAGAGTTATTAAGGGGGAGAAGGGTCGGGGAGGAGGGACCGAGGGCTGGGCCGCGGTTACGGCGGCTGAAGAGAGACAGCCCGAACGGGTGGGGGCGGGGGAAAGAGCGAGAGCGAAGGCCGCGCGGAGAACCCCTTGGACCAGCGCAGGCGGTGGAGAGGGGATCCGTGGCTTAGGTGAAGGGCCGCCGAGCGGCGGAGGCACAGAGTAAGGGCCCGGGAACGGCAGCGTGGGGGTCCCGGCGCCGCGCTCCAGGGCCCGCGGAGAAGAGGCGCGGGCGCGCTGCTCCCGGGGTCGCGTGCGTGAGCGCGAACGCCGGGCGCGCGCGGTGGGCGGGCAGGGACGCGAGGCCAGCGGGGCGGCGGGAGGGCGGCAGGCTGGCTGGCGGGCCCGAGCCGCCGGGCCGGACGGCGGCGGGCCTGCGCTGGCTCCAGCTCGGAGCGCCCGGGCCGGGGGATTCGGTCTCCCGGCTCCCTCCGGCCCGTCTCCGCTCGTGAGTACTACCCCCGCCCTTCTTCCGAGGGAGGCCGCTGGGCCGGGGCCTGCGCGAGAGGCCGGGGGTTGGGGTCGCGGCCGGGGGAAGCCGAGTTTCGGAGCTAAAGCCGGCGCTAACCTCTTCCTTACCACGGGCGCCCCTGACATGGCCACAGGTGCGGCCGGCTGGGCGAGGGGCGCTCGGGATCCGTCCCCAGTCTCTGGCCCCCGGATAACGAGGGACAGCTGGCGCCGTCCATTGGCAAGTGACAGGCACTTTACTACAGCCCGACTTCCCGGATCTCCGGCCCCAGCCACTCTCCTACCTGCCTCCATTCCGGGAAACTTACCACTACTGCTTGAAACAGTCCCCGTGGGTAGCAGCCACTACTCTTGGTTTCTTTTTTGTAGTGAAGCTGCCTAAAGGCTGTACCTTGATTTGGGCACCTTCCACTAATGCTTCCCTTACCTTTTTTGTGTTTAGAGCACTTTACTGGGAGAGATTACTAAGTACCAAGTGGTTCTATTTCCAGCTGGGTTCTCGTTTATAGCTTAATTGTTGGATGAAGGTTTGTTTTTTAATAGACATTTTAAGAGAGAAAAGTTTCAGTTTCTTAAATAGTTAAGAGTTCTGAAAATTTATCGTCCTCGATGACAGCTTTGTACTGATTTGTCTTTCAGGTGCAAAGAATTGTAGACCAAGGAACCATGGATAGGAGAAGTGTGGGTGATACAGAAAATGGAGACGCTTTCCTTGATTTGAAGAAGCAACTGGCCTCCAAATCCCCCCATCGCTATACAAAAGTAGGCTTTGTTACTAATGAAATAGTGTTTCTTTATAAAGGTGTTGAGGCTGGTAACATTGTGTAGGTATTTCATTAGTATTATCTGAAGTGGTGGTCTCATTCTGATTCACTGTATGAACTAAATGTTACCTAGAGCATTGCTTTGAACTTTTTTTCCTGAAAGCATGAATACCCAGAGTTTAAACTATAATTTGCTTCTAAGTAGCTTTCGGGTGAAGGGAATATTGGCTTAGATCCCATATGAATTTGTGGCTCAGTATATGTTGGTACACAAAGTCTTTATCAGCTGGCATACTGTTGACTTATATGCTATAGAGCAAGGATTCCAGCTCTGAGATGCCTCACAAAACCAGTGTCCCCTGTTTTGATGTTTCCTTAAGAAGTGAATACCTTAAAGGAATGCTTTTTGTTGCATTCTTAGGTGCTTGGCTAGAGTAACCAGATTTTTTTAATTTTCATTACAAATTGGATATGGACTCACAAAAGTAGGACTTCAATTATATTTTCCGTAGCTAAAAACTTGTGATTTTAAACTCTCATCTGGATATCATTTTCCAGGAAGGTGCAGATCATCTCAGAGTCATATATTTATTGAAGCTTTTGCTTCAGTGTTTTGTTGGCTACTGAATGTTTCTGAAGAGGTTGACAGGACTCAGCTGCGAATTCATTGCTGGTTCCCTAAAATGTCTTCAGCCGGAGTACATAAAATGTGCTTGGGACTGTTGACAGGAAGAATTATGTCCTAGTTGGGCCGTACCTGT